GGCGCCAGAATAGCAGTTTTCATTTTTCCCCATTGACTTATAATGGTGAGGTCACGAAAATGACCTGACCTCATATGACCTTTAGAAAAAAATCCGAGATATACAAGTTGTGAGACTCATAATGGATACTAGATCCTGCAAGTTTCATTTCCCTGTGACATCTCGTCTGGCAGTGAGGGTGTTGCGAAGTTGCGACATCTGAAGACCGTGCAGAGGTTCACTTATGAGGTCATAGGTCAGTGACCTGACCTGACCCAAAAATGCGGTTGGTGTCAAAAGATCCGGCTTAAATCAAATGTCAGTTATGCCAAGTTTCAGCTCTCTATCGCCAGCGTGTTCGGAGCTATCGCGAAAAAAAACCCTATGGGGGGGGGGGGGCGGCACCCGCCCCCCCCCCTCGGCCGGCCAGGGTTAAACTAGGTACACAGCAGTGCGCAAGTCATCGAAATCATATGATTCATTTGGAATTTGAAGAAACTTGTTTGGGTATCCCACGCGCCGTCAGACCGCCTTTCTGAATCCGCCAGTGTCCAGTGAGATACACGATCACAGTACCTAGCCTCAAGCCTGGCTATCATCACATTAATTTCAATGAAAGACATTTGCTAAATACCGATTGGAACCCAGTTTTCATTCCTAATCAGCTGTGGACCTTGTTTGCTGTAAAGTCATTAGATACTTCATTAATTATGCACCAAAACAGAGACCGTGTGGCGTGTACCATACTGTTTAAATTACCATCCTCTCCCCTCCCCACCAATCGGAGGGTACCTAATCGGAGGGGTAAATCAGAGCGTACGGAGCTAGCTAGGAGCTGACGGACTGCCGTTCACGCACGTAAGGGTACCGGATGTGACGTCACAGTCCACAGATAAGCCGTCCACCTATGTAACGACAAGGTATCGGCCCCTGCAGAATGCCAAGCGGCCGGATCGGCATGCCACCGCATTTATTCCGTCAATCGGTCTGATGAAATTGATCTAATCGCTTTCCGTATTAAGTAAATATCAAACGCGTTTGATAAACTATCGCTTCCTCCAATATCACACCAGTTTGATAGTTCATATCGCATCGTCGAGCCGTAACTACAGCCATTAGAAACGGTCTAACAGGTGAAGAGTAAGGCCATTCCGGGTAAAGCAGAACCGACGGTACCACGGGACGAGATCGACGAATGCATTGGTCCGGATCGTCTGTCTGCAGTGATTTGCGGAAGTTATTGTGCAGGTAGGGATGTTAGGTAACTCACAAGCAGGCTTCAGACATCTATTGTCGAAAACTACAGATGCCAGCCAGCCGCCCCAGACGGCGGCGGCGCTCGAATCACCGCGACAGGGGCCCAGCCTCCTTTTGTACCGAACTTGGTGCCCGGCGGACCAGACCGGCCGTATAGCCAAGGCTCAATAGACTGCAACCCTCAACGGCAACCAGTCGGCGATATCGTCAACAACGGTCAGCAATACCCCACCAGCCGATGCGGCCGTCCGCACCACCGGCACCATCCTCCGCCCCTCCACATCCCGGCACCAATGGCACCAGGGCGCCGCGCTGCACCGGCGCAAAACCTGTTTGGCGGGGCGGCGCGGTACTATTTCAGATTTACCGTTGGCCTGCAGACGGCCGGCACATGAGCGAGCTGGACGACGCGGCCCTGCAGCCAGCGCCTCTGCGGCGGCCGGCGGCGCGCGCTCAACGGGGTCAGAGCGGCCGGGGAGCTGCATCAGTCGGCACCGGGGTCCACGCCGGGGCCGCGGAGCCACACAAGGGTCCACTCGGCCGGCACCAGGCTACTGAGAGCCGGACTGGGTCCAGGAGAGCCCAGCAGCGCCAGCGACCGCCTGATCAGGCAACCAACGGTAGGTAGGTATCCCGGTGAGCATGAAAGGGACCCCGACACAGGCTTGTCGCCAGGTAACGAAGAATGGGGTACCCAGAACCTGGTGGTGCTTCCCGACACAATTAATTTGCTCAGACGAAAAAGAACCGCTGGACTGGACATTTTGCAACCTGTGCACCGTCTGATGCGGTGACGGGTCAGTCGGCCGAGTATGGTACTGAGGGACTCCGGGACGAGCACCGATACACCGCCGACTGGCTCACTGGCCACACAATTACGGGATATACGGCAGAGGAGGCGACACTGATTGGAGGTGCACACACCGAGGGGAAATTCGCACGGGAATGTCCCTTACTCAGCGCGACACGATGTGCCGTGTGATCCCTGTATAGGTGTACGGTGTCGCTGCGCGCACCTTGATTATAGGCAGCTTCTTTGTACTTACCTACAACCCGCCTGCCAATGGAAATCCCTGGAGATGGTATATATTACGAGACAGGGCGAGAACTGATTGAACTCATTTGATAACTGACGCTGAGGTTATGCTTATGTAACAATTAGCCAGTGTGTCATTACCAAATAAGCGGGAGCGTTTGCTGGAAAATGCATGCAGCGAACTTTCCATTCAAACATTCAGTTCAAAGAGATAGACTGGTAAAAATAGGCACTGCAAACTGCAAACACAATTTCGGCTGCTAAATGAGAACCATGCTGTTGTTGCGATCAGCCTTATAACAAACCTGTTGGTAAATGATGCAAGAATGAAATAAGACGATGGCTTTGTTCATACCGACGTCAGAGACAAAAAGAACAGATACCCACCTACAGACTGTGTGGGAGAGCCGCGATTGAAAAGCCGATGAAGCGAGGCTGATCGATGATTGAAGGGCAGATGAGCTCCGAACAAGTCGGCCGTCTCTACTAGTACTGACTGGGCCGAGCGAGCTTTCTTGCCCAGCCTTGCAGCCGCGCGCCGAGCCGTCGCACGGCACTCGCACAATCGATGGGGTTCTATTCGCGGCCCTCTTCTGTGCGTCAATGTCAGAAATTGGCCTTTTCTGGAGGCGCGGAGCTGCGGCTCAGCCGGTCCGGGATACACGCGCACCGAGAGGCGGCCAATGTGGCGCGGCGCGCCGGCCGCTGCCGCCAGCGATTCCCGTGGCACTGTCGGCGCAGAGGACAGGACAAGTCCCCCTGTAGGTAAGGTACACCGATCGTCCTCACACCGGTCTGTACCGCCGGCCGCCACCGCGCCGCGGCAGCCAGTCAATTATTCAGATACACAGCGGGGCTTGCGAGGCTCAGTCCCCTGTCAATGACCAGCTATAAGCTTCATAGTTGGGTACTCAGCCAAAGTGATGACGAAATAACAGTAAAACCAAATAAAATCACTCGCTACCGGTCGCGTTGCATTCACCATTGTAAGAGACGATCATTGCCTTGGGATAATACAAGTCTTTTTGAATAAAAGCTTATTGATAGAAAGGATGTGGCTGACCTGGCCGACAAAATGACATGTCAACCCGCCAGATCCGCGATGGGAACCATGAACGCTGCAGCTGACCCTAGCCAAGTCACGATTGGGTCATACACTCGGAATCGGTTAGGGGGGAGCCGAGGTCATGTTCCACGCTAGCCTGTCGGCGCGACCATGAGCCGAGACGGGCCGCCCGAGACGGTACCCGTGACTCACTCGCGGCGTCTGGCTCGGCTCGGCGTCGGCCGGCCGGGGCCGCTCCAAGGTGGGCCCCTACCTGCGGCTACCTGTACCCACCCCGGCCAGACAGATACAGCTGAAACACCACTGCAAAGCCAACTGGCGCACAAAAGCAATGAAACCACCACAGCCGCTCCTCAAAAGCACAACAGTGCGCTGCATTACACTTTACAGTTTCCTCGCCTCTCGGAAAGACAGACTCAGACACAAGGCAGTCACTGCATGTTGAGGCAGCAGTGAATTTTTGTGTGAAAGCGAAATCATCAAACACCCCAACGTATCCAGTAGCAGTAGGACTTACCTTAAATTGAGATCCCTGCGTCGCTCCGACGTATCTCCGAAATGTGCAACCCACGCGCTCACGCAGCCGAGCTCAGGTATGCCAGGAATTGGACAAAGAATCCCGACAACGCGGCGCCACCGCGCAGCCGCTCTGCGCACAACAGAAAGCCCAGGCGCGGCCAACGGCGAAACATTTAGGCGGTTCTTATTTTAGCGGCCACTGTTTTTCGGTCCTGTCGGCATATTTGAACAAGTTGCATGAATATTCCACACGTGCTGATACAGTAGTAGTGATACTAAGCCATATGTGTTACTTTTGGCTTTCAACTCGTCCGAAATACCTACGAACAAGTGCCATTACATCTATGACGTCATATCTGAAAATAGCCCTGCCACTGAGCCAGCTTCTAGTTGTATCTATTCTCGCTACGTGGCGCCACATGACGGAACGCGATCGCGGCGCCATCTATAAGCACTAGCAACCGCAGTCGACTGACGATGCAGGCCGATCCGGTAGGTACCAGTGCATAAGAGACGTGGCCTATGGGCGCTTTCATCATTTAACAGACAATGACAATACAAAAACAATGTAATATTGTCATTGTCTGTGAGAAAAAAAAAATGTCTGACTCTTCTTATCATTTCAAATTAACAACTCAAAATGAGCCCAAAATGATACAGGTATGTTTGTACCTGCAATAAGAAGCCAGGACTCTCACGTCCGCCGTCCATCCAAATAATCGGCCCATCACGGAGCGTCCGATACTTGCAAGATTTTCTACCCACGGGCGATGCTAATTCCGTGCCCCCCATAGGCGCGGGAGCCGGGGGGGGGGCAGTGGGGGCAGCTTGCCCCCCCAACTCTGGGGCCGTGCCCCCACAGCTTTGAGACGGAATACTACTTTTTTTTGCAAATGTTTTCTTTTTTTGTTGAAAAAGCCGAGGGGTGAAAGATAAGTGGCCTAAAACCGGTGAGAAAACTAGATTTGGGGGTACCCTAGGTTAATCTCTATTATGGTGTGCCCCCCCAGTCGGAAAGTAGTTCCCGCGCCCCTGGTGCCTCCCCATGTTCCCTCGTTCCCGGAGTCGGACAGTCACCGCCAGCCGCAGGGCCAAAGGTAGACACCGGTAGGCCAGCCCAGGAAACGGACGCGCTCAGCGTAATTCTGCCACTGCAATTTATTACCTGCCGATACCGTGGGCGGCGGCAGCGTATCACAAGGTGGAGAGGCCGCGAGCGCGCCGCCGTCACACAGAGAGCTACGCGGCGCGGCGGCGACCGGCCAGCCGCGCCCCTACCACACAGGAGCCGAGTACACTGACGGCCGGCGGCGCGGCGCGGAGCGCCCGCTCACGCGCCGCCGCCGCCACCGGTTAATCAGAATATAGATATCACACACCGCTAGGTATTAATACAAAGGTGAAACCGCTACGTTTGTACGTAATGCAAAAATCACATTGAAGAACTGGACGGCGGCGCCCCGGGCGGACCGCGTCGCTACAGTGACTACGGGCGGCCGCGCCCCTACCAAAGCCCCACCGAGCCGGACCGGCAGCCGCCGGCGCCCGCACAGCCGCCCCGGATCACACATATGAAAAATAGACTATTATGCAAAACTTCTCTAGCTAGCGTAGTGAAAGTGCACGTGTGATCACAAGGAGAGTAGTAGCCGAAGGGGCGGTGGAGCGGGGGGCAGCCGGGCGGCGGCGCGCCCGCTCCGGCCGGCCGCACTATTTGATTATCGAGCGCGCGGGCGCGGCGCGGCGCGGCCGGGGGCGGCCGGGACGGGAGCCGGTGGAATGGAGACAGGAGGGAGGCCGTCGCCCGGCCCGGCGGCCGCCACACACTGAACAGTCCCTGAAGCGTGCGGCGCGCCGGCCGCGCTATATGCTAGTCTGTCTTTGTCGGCGGCCGGCCGCGTAAAGTGGTCCGCAGGAGGGGTAAAACGCGGTCCGGCCGGGCGCCCGCCGCCCGTTCCAGCCGCGCCACGCCGCCGCCACACAGGGCATGCATGTCGGCGGCGGCGGACCGGCGGGGCGGCGACGGGCGCGCCCGGCCGGGGAGGGGGGGGGGGGGGGGGGGTCGGCCGGGAGCCGGAGAGGGAAGCAACCTAGTTCATTGGGGCACCCGCCCGCCCCCGGAGCAATACATACAGCGTCCGTATGTACCGGCAGCCCGCGGCTGACCAATTAAAAGTCCGGCCCGCTCGCCAAAGACAACCTGCCTACCGAGGGAAGAAGCCTAGCCCTGCCTACCGCGCCGGGGACCACGCACCGGCCCCAATCCGAGAATCATGTCCAACAACGAGAAAAACGAACGCCGAACACCACAACCAATCTAAAATGCCACACCTCTGAAACGCCGCCGGCAATGGGAAAGCATTGCAAGTTAAAGCTACTAGATCACCTACACACTACACAGCACCGGACTCGCGGAGGGCCAAGGCACCACTCGTTACATAGACGCTACACGGCGGCGCCGGCCCACCGGGCCTACATGATTACACAGCGCACACCCAACATCGAAACCGACTAAGAACGAACGCTAACATAAAGCCAGCCTAAATGTCAACACTCAAACACCGCCAAACACCGAGGCCGCGCCCGCGCCCCTAAAACCAACCAACATAAAAACCAACCAACCCAAGCGAGCGAGCGAGCAAGATAGAGGGAGCGGGTAGTTGCGCCGCTACTCGGCCCGGGTAGCTGCGCCGCTACTCGGCCAGCCAGAGCGGGTAGTTGCGCCGCTACTCGGCCCGGGTAGTTGCGCCGCTACTCGGCCAGCCAGAGCGGGTAGTTGCGCCGCTACTCGGCCAGCCAGAGCGGGTAGTTGCGCCGCTACTCGGCCAGCCAGAGCGGCTGGTACTGCGACTTGCTCGGGCTGAGCGCGGCGTAGTTGAACGCGCCGGCCACCTGCGGGTGTCCGCTGAACACGCTGGGCAGGTGGGCCGGCAGCGGGTGGCCGGACGGGTGCGCCGTCAGCACCGGCCGCGCCGAGCTGTGGTGTGCTGGCGGCGGCAGCAGCCTGCGGGCACAGGGGCACACACAAACACCACAGTCAGACACACGGCCACCGGGCACAGCAACAGACCACACCATACAGCACCGCAGACCACACCATACAGCGCCACGGACCACACCGTACAACGCCACAGACCACACCATACAGCACCACAGACCACACCATACAGCACCACAGACCACACCATACAGCACCACAGATCACACCATACAGCACCACAGACCACACCATACAGCACCACAGACCATACCATACAGCACCACAGACCACACCAAACACACAGACCACACCATACAGCGCCAGACCATACCATACAGCGCCACAGACCACACCAGACAGCGCCACGGACCACACCATACAGCACCGCAGACCACACCATACAGCACCACAGACCACACCATACAGCGCCACAGACCACACCATACAGCACCACAGACCACACCGTACAGCACCACAGACCACACCATACAGCACCACAGACCACACCATAGAGCGGCACCACAGACCACACCATACACCGCAGACCACACCATACAGCACCACAGACCACACCTGCACACAGCACCACAGACCACACCATACATCACCGCAGACCACACCATACAGCGGCACCACAGACCACACCATACATCACCGCAGACCACACCATACAGCACCACAGACCACACCTGCACACAGCACCACAGACCACACCATACAGCGGCAGCCGAAAGGCGCCCAGCCAGATATACGGCCGCTGATAAGGACCGACAAGGGACAAGCAGTAGCAATTGTAATATCCACATAAGCTCTGGCAGTTCGCTCGTATATTCACATTAAATTCGTGCAAAATTAGTTCGTGTATCACACATTGAAAGTTCTTAGGTGTTTTACAACATGGTCCTTGAATACTTGGCCTATTTCGCACTTTCCCTACTCTTGGATTTCAAGAGCAAAATACCACACCATACAGCGGCACCACAGAGCAAAATGCACCCGTCTAGCTCAACAGTGAGCAACTCTTTCAATGTCCGAAATAATCATGCCGTGGTCGTTCCTCGGCCTGCGACGCTCTGTTCGGGCCCATCCGGCGCACAGTCGGCTCCCGTGCGTCGGTGACTCACCCGGCCGGGATCTGCGCCACGGAGCGGCCGGCCGCCGCCGCCGCCAGGTACTGCCCGGCCGCGGCCGCGGCGGCCGCCGCCGACGGCTGTGCCGTGGCCACCGCGTACACCGCCGGCCGGCGGAACTCCCGGAACAGCTCGGGCGCCAGCCGCGGACTGAGCGGCGCCAGCGGCGGCGGCTGCGACACCCACGGGCCCGGCGAGACGTGCGCCGCCGCGTAGTTCCTGCGGAGCACCGGGGGAGGGGCGTCACACGGCGGCCGCGGCCACAACACGCGCACACAGTCACGTCATGAGCACACAGAAACGGCAATGGTCCAAAAAGTGTACAATTACCGGTGACCTACACAGGCACTTCTGCACACATAAACGTCTCCATTGAGATACCAAAAAGACCACTGACCACCGAACGAAACCCTATTTAGGCTGACGCAGATTGTCTTCCCCTGTACCCCGAGGACCCTGGCCGGACGGCCCGGGAGCGGCGCGCGCACCTGTAGGAGGCCGCCGCTGAGGCGCGGTAGGCCGCGGCGGCCGCCGCCGCCGCTGCCGGGTCCGGCTGCAGCAGCTCGCGGCCGGCGCCGTGGTGGGGGCGGCCCGCCGGCTGCGAGGCCAGCAGCACCGTGTCGCGCCCGACGGCCGCCGCCGCCGCCGCCGCCAGGTAGTCGCGGTGCGCCGAGGAGACGGCCGGCGCCGGCGCCACCACGTAGCGCGCGCCGGCCGCCGGCTGTGAGTGGGCCGCCGGCGGCAGCGGCTCGGCCGAGCGGTACTCGTCCCGACGCGCCGACACGTAGCGCACGTCATCGGCGGCGGGCGGCGGCGGCTCGTCGGCGGCCGGCAGGTAGAGGCTGTGCCGGCGGCCGTCCCACTCGCGGCGCTCCCACTCCTCGGTCTCCGGCGCGGCGGCGGCGGCCTGGTTCAGGTGACACTCGGACTGAGACTTGGCCAGCAGGCGCTTCTTCTGCGAGACGGGCGCCGACGAGTGGTAGCCGCTGCAGACAGACAGACAGACAGACAGTGTCAGTGACGGACCGCACCGCCGGCAGGCGCCGACACCAGTTACATATGACAGACCGAGACTAAAAAGTTAAAATGATACACGAAGATGGATACACTTGCAGATCTCATGGGCTACAGAAAAAAAGAAAACCAATTATCAAACCCATGCTCCAGCGTGAGAAAAGGGCACCTGTCCACCATGCATCACCAGGGTTCCCGAGCCGAGCGCGGCACAGAGACACGAGGCCTGGTCGGTCTCCAGCCGGCGCCTGGCGCAGACACGGGCCCGCCCCCCCGCCCCCGGCGCGCGGCGCACCTTGTCGACGGCTCCGTTTTGACGACGGCCACGGCCGGCTGGGTATCCTCGTCGCTGTCGTGCACCACCACCACGCGCGCGCGGCCGGCGGCACGCGGCGGCTGGCGCCGGTCGCGCTCCGACGCGCTGCTGGCCAGCACTGAGGCGGCGCTGCACACCGCGGGGGGGGGGGGGCACAGTGAGCGGTGCAGACAGGGTGTGCACACAGTGAAACATGCAGCCCCCACTGCCAGGGCACAGCTGCACACAACATCTCAATGGACCGAAAAGGACTGACCCGTAGACAGAGGCAGCGTCTGAATCTAAATAATTAACGGAGAAATCCCGGGGAAGTGTGAATGCCAATATTTCAGACCAGAGGCGTTGCAGGGACCTCGGTTCAATAAGACAGCCTCGGATCAATAAGACAAAACTGCCTCAGATTTAGCCGGACACAACGTGGCCTGGAATTACACACGCCTTCAAATTTAATACCTATGAGAACGACTTCTCCGACGGTTTTTGAATTTCTCACCAAAAATGACTGCACACGTAAGATAGGACAGACCTGCAAAATATGTGCAACACGCTATACCCGGTGCCGGGGAGGGGGGGGGGGGGGCCTCCGCCCGTCCTGATCCACGGCGGTGAGGTACGGGGTAGGGAGGGGGTAGGGAGAGGGTAGCGGGTCCAGCCGTGACGTACTGGTGGTGGGCGACCTCGCTGGGCGTCACGGTGACCGACGGACAGGCGCTACTCGGCAGCACGACGCTCGAGTGGCCGCTGCTCCCGCTGCAACACACGGGCCGGGCGGCACTGAGTACCGGGTACTGGGACACGGGCCGGACGGCACGAGTACCGAGTACTGGGACACGGGCCGGACGGCACTGAGTACCGAGTATTGGGCGGCGCGCGCGCTCACATCCACGGGACGGACCCACGGGAGGACAGACCGAGTCGGCGTGGAATGAGGAAGGAATGGCGGACCGTCGCGGTGGCCGTTGATTCGCCATCCCCGCTTAGCCTAGAGAACAACCGACATCCTACTTTACACAGTACAAATACATGCAACGAAATGAGAGAGGAAAATAGATAGGCATTCAGTAGGCAGCTCCTCTCAGACCAGAGCGCGCCAGTGACGAGCAGCGTGCTCAGTGGAGCGCCGCGGTTCGGCGAGCTGCACCCAGAGGGCTGCACTCACTGTTTGTCAGCTGGCGTGCGGCCGACCGTCTCGTCGTCGCTGTCCGAGATGGTGATCACCGACACGGTCGGCGACGGCGTGTCCCGGATGGTGATGGTCGGCTGACCGCGCCGGCCCGCCGCCCGACGGCCGCCGCCGCCGCCGCTGGGCTCGCCGCCGCGCCGAGACTCGTCCACTGACACACAAGGGAACACCACGTCAACAACGGGCTCCGCAGTCAGTCCGAACAATCAGACAGCGCACACCTGGCCGAAGCAGAGGTATGTCCACTGGTGAGCTGAGCACAGGACGGCAGCCTCAGACTGACCGCCGAACACAAGGAAGTTCTTTCAGCCGGCTGAGCACAGGACAGGTCAGACTCACCGCTGCTCTCCTCCTTGGGCTTCTTTTTGACGGGGCTGATGTGCGAGACGGGCTCCTTCTTCTCCACGTAGAGGGCGCCGCGCCGCGAGCTGTCCCCTGGAGAGAGGGAGAGCAAAGTTAATAATCAAAACATCAAGACATCTTTCACATGCTTAGCTGCGCCGAACAATAGGGACGGCCCCTAAAATAAGCCGGGGTATCACGGGAAATGGACAGATTTACCAGTCATCAAACGACGCCGAAACGCATAAGACGAAGGTCCAAGTTTCTTCGGTCAGCACTGAAGTCACACGAAAAAAAAACGAGCGTTATGAATAAATTTTGACCATTGAGGCCTCGCCAACGGTACTAACCGCTGCTCTCTTCCTTGGGCTTCTTTTTGACGGGGCTGATGTGCGAGACGGGCTCCTTCTTCTCCACGTAGAGGGCGTGCGGTGCGCCGGCCGGCGGTCGCGGCGCACCGCTCCGCTTGCTCGGCCGCTGGCTGTACTGGCCGCCGCAGTGCGCCGGCGCCGGGGCCGGCGGGGGCGCGGGCGCGGGCGCCGGAGCGGGCGCGGCGCGCGGCCGGGGCACCATCTCGGCGGCCTGCAGCAGCATGTCCGGGTACATGGAGCCCGGCTGGTCCTGCCGGACACCGGCAGACCGTCAGACCCGCGGACAGACCACCGCCGTCCGGTCATACAGCTCATCTCGCCGACCAGTCACACGGACCACCTGTCCCGGCCAAACAGACGCGCCGACCGGGCCCGGTAACACGGCTACCCTCCCAGTGCGGTACACTCTGCGCCACACTCGCCTCCGTCTGACACCCGGCGCCCACCGAGTGGCGCCGCTCCGGCCCGCCCCAGTCGGCGCCCCGCCTACCTGGAGGAAGGAGGCGCTCTCGACGAGCACCGGCCGCGGCTGCGAGAGCCGCCAGTCGGCGCTGTCCGGCAGCAGCGCGGCAGACGGCTGCAGCGCCGCCGCCGCCGCCGGCTGCTGCCACGACGGCACGAACGTCATCTGCCGGCTGCCGGCCGCCGGCCACGAGCTGCCGTTCTGCGGCGCAGCGGGGGAGGGGGCGTCAGGGGGGCACAACAGGCGAGGGGCGCTGCCAACAGGTAACATGAACTGCAGGCCAAGCACGGCTGCCACGATGCGCTTATGCCTTATCTGAAGCAGATTACGACTTTGCGACTGGTCCCAAGAGGGACACCATCACTTAGAACCACCATTACTTCAGCGAGAACATTGTGTGTTTGGCGGTTAGCGTCCAATCAGCCAACGGAAATATACGCGCAACATCCGAGACGCAAGAAAGCTTGACCACCAGTCGATGCGACACCAGCACAGCAGACACAGTCAAGTGGCGTTAAAATAAGACAACACGCGACTCCAGCCGAGCGCTAGCGCTGCCGTCACAGTCACCAGCCAGCCCACCGGACCTTGTAGCCACACGGGAACACCTCACCGCAGCGTCTTTACCATTACAGCGGCGGGCGAGCCGGCGCCTTGCGCCGTCTCACATGCGGGCGGACGTGGCGGCTGGGGAGCTCTAGGTGCGGCAGAGGTTCTACGGTCCGAGGCCCATCCACGACTACTCTGCCATGCGGGTCACTGGTCGGACCAGACAGACAGACGGACAGACATGCGGACGGCAGCCCGAGGGAGAGCAGAGGCCGCGGCTGGCCCCGAGACGCGTCGGTACTCACCGCAAACAGCATCGGCCGGCCGGACTGTTCTACCATGGAGACGGGCACGTACTGCTGCTGGGGCACCTACGGCGCACGGGCAGAGACAGAGAGATAGACAGATAGAGAGACAGAGATAGAGACAGAGAGGGAAGACCAGGGTGTGTCAGACTACCGAGGCGCTCTACAGTGGGAGACACGCACAGACAGACAGGGACGAGCCGGGTACCCCGCGGCAGGCGGGCCGGGGCGGGTGATGGGGTTCACGGGACAGTAGGGCGGAAAAATGGACTGAGACGGACGGCGCCTGGAACTGTTGGCTGGGGCGGGCATACGTATGGGATAACCAGGATCATGGTTCGACAGGACGGTGACCAGGAACTGCGCGGGCAGAAGTGAGGAGGCCCACGATCTACGGTTCATCGTTCTACAAAGCGACTCCCGGCGGCTGGCTGTGTCCGCCCTAGCTACCGGCCGGCGCGGGCCTCACCTGGTAGGTCTGCGGGTGCGGCGGGCACAGCAGCGACGGCACCAGCTGGTGCTGGTAGGAGGCGGCCACGCGCGACGAGCCGTACTGGCGCTGGGTGCGCGGCTGGTAGAACTGGTACTGGGAACCAACAGCGGCCGGGCGTCAGCACACGCGGAGCACACAGGCACACATACACCACTGAGACCAATGGGCAACTCAGAGACGAGCACCGTATCACAATGGCGACTCTGGAAGTTCACACACGCAGTCCGAGTCGGACGGCGGCCCCTGGGTCGGTGGTGAGCGCGCCGGCGGCTCACCTGGTTGGGCAGCTGGTTGTTGAAGGTGATGGCCACGTTGCCGACGCTGGTGGGCACCAGGTTGACCAGCTGGGCGGGTGCGGCGGCGGACGGCGCGGCCGGCGCGGCAGCCGCCGCCGGCTGCGGCGTGAACACGTGGCGGCGGCACACCTCCATCATCTGCACCGACGCCTTGACGTTGGCGCAGTGAGAGTAGTCCACCAGGTGCGACAGCGTTACGAACGCATGGTTCAGCGCCTCGGGCGGCATCACCCGACGCTCCTGGGGGCGGCGGCGGCGTCACTCGGCGGCCGAGACCGGGAGCCACTCGGCAGAACGAGCACACACACCGAGTACAGAGTGACACAAAATGGCAACCAACGTATGACGTCTTACTACGGCGGGTAAGGCAATCCCCGTGTCCCACGTTCCGGCCCTTCCCAGCCGCGCGGGCCCGGTCCGGCGGCGGCGACCCACCTGATCCATGGTGAGCATCCGCTTGATGAGGTCGATGAACTCTCGCCTGTCCGTCTTCTCTGCGAGCAGCTCGCCACTCTCCAGGTCCTGCGGCACGTTCACCTGCGCCATGTCGTCCAGACAGTTGAAGATGTACTTGCGCGCCTCTTTCGACTTGATGCCAGTCTCAGACTCGTGCTCCTCGGGTGTCTGTCGGCGCGCGAAGGCAGACAAGGCGGTAAGCTAAAGGGTTCTGCGACTCGCGCGCTTAGAAAGTCAGTCAACAAAAGGGGGCAGACTAGGCAGAAGTCGAGTGATGGAACACAACAATGCATACTAACCACGACCGGCATTTTTCGCAGTAACTGCCGAAAACGCGTGAGACATTTCCGGTCGGCCCATCATGACTCATGACAACTCCGGTGAGCAATGTAAATTGATGTGAGAGGGTCGAGGGAACAGAAAGTTTACTGAAATTGTAATATTTGGAGACACCACCAGACAGGAAGAGGAGCAAATGAAAAAAAAAAATCCAGCAGGTTCAATGTCTCAGACAGCTAAGCCCTGACTTCTATATTTCCTGTGCGGCTCTAATATCTGTACATCAAAATGCGTGCATAATGAAGACCGTTTACATTTAGTAATATGAGCACAGGTGGCAATAGGGCCTCTGTTGGCAGCGTGGTCCGGTGAGTTTCGTCCCGTCCCGTGGCACTATTATTGCCGGTGCTCGCCGGCGCCGCGGCCAGCCCCGGCCAGACAACACGGCCGGGCGTTGCGTAACTGCAGTTGGGCCCGGCCGGGAGCGCGCCGCGGTGGCGCAATCTGCAGACACCGGAACCGGGCCCGGTCTGCGCAGCCGCACCGCGGCGGCCGAGACGAGGGACGGTCCACGCCACCGGCAAAGACAACACGGACAGGCCCCGGCCCGGACCTCACGCACCTTGAGCCGCCAGCACGGGTAGTTCTGGTCGACGTCCCGGTAGAAGAAGCGCGTCGTCTTGGTGGCGTTGTTGAGCATGTGTTCGGGCGGCTGTCCCTGCGTCTGGCGGATGTAGCGGATCTGGTCGTACTCCGAGCTGCCCGGGTACAGCGGCCAGCCGAGGAACAGCTCGGCGATCACACAGCCCAGCGACCACATGTCGATCGCCTCGCAGAACGGCAGACCTGGCGCAGCGCGGCACACAGTCAGTCAGCGGCACACAAGGCCGGGTACGGTACAGAACGGTACGGCGTCAGTAGGTACACGGTCAGCGCGGAACACAGGTCAGCGCACGGCGTCAGTGAACTGTCAGTGCGGTACACAAGGCGGTGCAGTACAGCACGGTACGGTGTCAGGGGTGTCTCATTAAACGCTTGTCAGGAGGCTGTGTGTCAGTACACCGATATGCAGTGTAGTCATCCAACGAGTTTACGATCATCATTTTCCAAATAGATGGGGACGGTTGCTAAGGAGCAGGCAGGAGCAGGATGTGAAGTCCGCGGTCTATGTCTGCGCCTGCCGCCGGTACGCCCGTCCCGCGGGCCGGCCGCCGGACAGCCCCCGGTCGGGACGCCGCAGATAGGCGGCACTGCCGGCCGATAGCGGCCGGAGCCTTTGATCGGCGGAACCGCCGGATTCGGAGACCGACACCGCCGGCAGATACGGCCGCCCTGTCGATTTGTCACCTCCCCCGTACCAAAGAGGCACCACCTCGACCTGTGGCAGAGCGGTGGAGACGCCAGGCACCTCAGCACTACACTCCGTGCCCGACTGGTGTCCATCTTAAAGGGTCGGAACGCCAACAATGTACGCCCGATGGTAAACACGAAACCCGAATTCCTACCCCAGCCGGCGGTCCCAGCGATGCCCGACCATGTGAGAATTCCCGCCCAGATCCGTGCCAGAGCCGACCGGAACAGCCCGGACGGACGGACGGACACCGGACGGAGGCCTTGGTGCGCACTCGTGGTGACCTTGAATGGCCGCGCGCAAGCCCGTCCAAGACCGTGACAGCTTGTGTTTTGTGATATACTATCTAAATCAAATATACAAAATTACATGTTCTTTAGAAATGCCAGTATTTGAATTAGAGTATGTCCAAATTCTAACCAAAGCAAATGAACAGCGGCTTGCAACCTGAATCACTTTTTCTCCGCACTGCGAAGTAATGCGCATGTCTTACCGGCCAATTTTGTCACCGCACATCCACACAAAAGCTGGGGATGCTTCACTAGCGCGATGCAGCTTTTCCTGGGGCCTGCCTTCGGCGCCACGGTGTCGGTCCGCGAAAGGGGCCGGAATATTTACACCGTTACCAAATGAATGCCGGTGACTCACGGCTGACCGGAAAGCCGCGGTATGGCCGCGCTGGCCCTTTATGGGGAAGGCGCCGCCCCGCCGCCGCGCCCCGCCGGTATAGGAGCCTGCGTCCCACCGACGGCATACAGGTTCGTTACAAAATACCGACAAACAAGGACAGGACGTGCCGCCTGTCCCGCATCGGCGGCATCACTCCGCGGATCTACCCGTAACGGTAAAACATTACCACACGGCAGCCTGCCCTTCCTCGGCGGAAATGCCACAGGGTGCACACCAAATGGCGCCACGGAACTCGAGCGTAGTCTTCGGCAAGCATGATGGACTCACCGGGTATGATCTCTGGCGATCAGTGCGATCTCACTCACCGAGTATGGTCTCTGGCGATCAGTGCGATCTCACTCACCGAGTATGATCTCTGGCGCGCGGTAGTAGCGACTCTGCAAGTAGGTGTTGCACACGGCCTTGCTGGCGTGCGAAGCCGAACCGAAGTCGATCACTTTGACGCGGTAGGGCTGCCGGATGGGGTCCACCAGCATGATGTTCTCCGGCTTCAGGTCGGCGTGGATCAGACCCAGTTGCTGCGGGCGAGCGGCGCGGTCCGGGTCAGCGGGGCGGGGCGCACAGCGGCCAGCGAACGACCGGCGGCCGCTCAGTGACGGCAACCGCTCAGGGTTCATCACAATACAAACACTGCCGTTCATGGTGAGGTGACGGCGGCGGCCTACAGCCACAGAGGGCTCAGACCGCCGGCAGTGCCCCCAGCGACGGGCACCCACTGACGGACACCAGCCGCACAAAAATGGTCCCGCAAACGGCGCGGCGCGGCCCTCCCCGCGCATGTCTGTTCTCACGGTCAGGGCGACTGCTCTATCAGCACCGACACAGCCAGACCCAATTTACACCGTATGTAGCCGGACTCCGAGTCCAAATCTAACTGAGCGGCGCACCAGCCCGACCGGCCGAGTCGGGGCACCACCAGTCAGGCTGACATGAGAGCCGTTACAGAGCGACCGCCGGGAGAAACTCCGTCAGATACGCGCGAGTTACCTTGAGTTTTAGCAGCGCCGTCAGCACCTGCTGCAGGATCGGTCTGATGAACTTGAGCGGCAGCGGAGAGAACTTGTTCTGCTTGAGGAAGTCGTACAGGTTCTGCTCCAGCATCTCAAACACCAGACAGGTGTGGTTCTTGTGCTGGAAGCACTCGTGTGCGCGCACGAAGTTGAACTCATCCGCGTTCTCGTGGCTCAGTCGAGACAGGATGGAGACCTGGCGGCGGCCGGTGGGACGGTGTCAATTCCGTAGGTACTGACCCGGCCGAGCCGAGATCGGGAGGGCGTGGCGTCAGTTACACTACACCCGCTCAGCTGAGCGGGGTCCATTCCGTACGGTGCGTCAGTGCCGCCGCCGCCGCCCGCTGCGGGGAGCCGGAGAGGCGGCGGGGTGTGACCGACCGGGGCAGATTGGGCCGGGACGGACGGGCGGTAAATCAATGGGGCGCCGACACGGCGCAGCGGCCGGCGCGGCGCGCACACGGCAAGTCCGGCGGGACAGCCACACCGGCGCATCGCACACCTTCACTGGTTACAGCCGGCAACACATCCGTCCGTACTGAGCGGCGTAAACAAAAACACGGGCCGGCCGGCCGACTCGAAACAAACAGCAGCGAGTGTTTATCAATGACTGCCGCGGCGGCTGGTCGCTGAGACAGCGACTCTGTCGGCGGCCCAGCCCGGCGGCTCACCTCGATCTGACCCTGCCGAGCGTACGACGGATGGTTCTTGAGGATTTTCATGGCCACGATCTCATTGGTGCCTTTCTTCCAGCACTTGACCACCTGGCCGAAGGTGCCGCGGCCCAGGAACTCGAGTACCTCATACTGCGGACACAGAGTGGGTCAGAGTTAGAGTCAGGGCGGTGCACGGCTGCGGGCTACAGGGGACTGGGGCAACAGATTCTCTCAATTGAAATGCGTAAATATATTGTTCCAGAGGCTAAAAAGCAGAAGATCGCAATATTTTGGTCACACGGATTACATTCACACGGCGTTTTCTGGGAATCCATTGTATTCAGCCGCCAGCGGAATGTGCAGCGGCAGCGTCCTCGGCCGGCTGGTGCCCCCCAACCTCGCGTGTCAGCGAGGCTGGCCGCCCAGTGCCCACCCGGCGCCGGCGCCCACGGAGATAAGGGTGTCCCGGCCGCCGGCCGCCGACGCGCCGCTCGTTCCCCCAAAGTGAGATTGTCCGCGGCCGTGAATGGCCGCCGCTTCACGTCCGATGAGAGGTATTGAGGTTAACGTCCGGCCGGCTGGGCCAGCATGTATTCCCGAAAGCCAAGCCATCGGCGCCGGGCGGACGATAAAGCGGGGCGGGCGATCCCGAGTTGGGATCGGCGCGGGTCACACAATAACCCGGCCCGGCCGGCCGGCCAACGACGCCGTCCAAACAACACACGGGAACACAGGCGCCACGCGCCCGGCGCCCCCGCCGACTGCCGCGAAATAGCCCGGGCCGCGGAGAGGGGCGCGCGGGAGCGAGCCTAGCACGGCAGCGGCGGCACGGACACTGACGGCAAAAAAATGCACACAAAATAGCAGAGCCCTACTGACAGCGCGCCCGCTCCGTACCGTCGGCGTCCGCGCCGTGACGCGGCCGGGGACGCACCTGGTTGGTGAGGCTGCAGAGCACCTCATGCTGCACCAGCTGGTAGTCGCCATCGGTGGACGAGCCGGCCGCGGCCGCCGGCTTACTGTGGGACGTCGTCGTGCTGATTTGGGCCGACGATTCCTCGCCGGCATAACACTCTCGGCTCGCAGTCGACTTGCGCTGTCGGCGGGGCGGGGCGGGGCGGGCGGTCAGAGGCGCCGCGCGCGTCAGGAAGTGGCCGGGTGACGGCGCCACACCGGCGCTGTCGGGCCGCCGCCGCTCGCGGTCCGCCAACGTGACAGGACCATTTCATGTGATAGCTCTCCTGAGAACTGCGGGCTTAGCGGTCCAACATATCTTTGGAGGCATACTTCAGGCAAAAGATCAGGCAAGCAAGGGATTATGCCGTAAATACACGGACGATTTGCGTCACAAAGCGAAAGTGGCATCAGCGAATGATGTCATACAGGTAAGGTCACGGTCAGGACGAATTCCCAGGATACTTGGAAATAGACGCTGGCGCAGATGCAAAATGATAATGCAAAGTTGAATAACAAGCATGCGCAAAAATCCCACGTGTGTATTGCTAAATGCGGCAAACTTCAGTGTACAAGGTAAAATACCGACGGGCTGGCACGTTTCCGTCCGTCACGTCATGAACACTTTTGTCAGTCCGAAAAGTTTATAAAGCGCACGAGTTTGTAGGATCATGTCATCCTCTTAGATTCCTCTGAGTTACAAATTTCGTACCAGCGAGTGGTGAAATCAATGTTGAAAATAACAACACGAGCTACAAGCAGTGTATCACCAATGACAAGAGAAGACGAAGTCATCAAATAATGCGCCAAATTCAACACGTATTCTCACAAAAAAGCACGTGATTTCAATCACGAATTACATCAACTAAAATACGTTACACACTTTGCACACATTCTCTACAACATTCCGGCGATAAGAACCGTCCCAGTCAGGCAGTAGAATGAGTTGGCCATTGCCTCCTCTGTGCGCCACTGAGCAGCCCAGTCTCCTCAGCCGGTCGGTGGGAGGCGTCTCCCCGTGCCGTCCCACTGTGCGGTGACCCCTCCCCCCGCAGCGGGCGCGGGCGGCTCACCTTAACGCCGCACCTCTGGTAGGTATCTAGGCGTGCGTTTTGGCGCACCATGCGCGACTGTTGCGTGTGACTCTGGCTGGGACTGGGGACATGGCCGTACGGGTCGGCTCGGTACTCCTGCGGGCAGCCGTCCAGCTTCCGGCGCTTGCTGCTCACCTGCAGAGGACAGGTCGGCCGGGTCAGACGGGAGGACAGGTCGGCCGGGTCAGACGGCACGCTGGGGACGCCTACCCAGTGCCCCTCTCAATACTACTGACGGTGCCGGCATCACCAGCAGACCAGGCGCGGACGGAGGGAGCACACACAAACGTTTGGAAACGTCGCCGAATCACGCTGTGACCGACCAGTCCGAATGTCGGCGGCCAGGGCGAAAGGAAAACCGTAAGTCGCGGGATTTTTTAACGTTAGAACGGTATAACTTCAAGTCATAAGTTTACCAGATACGAATACACTGAGACAAACACGCCGGCACGACAATTTTCCAACCACATGCAAAACATGGCCACTGAATATCTCAATCCAAGGATGGAAAATTAACTAAACGGGTCAAGCATAAAAGCAATATTATTGCGACACAGTGACATCGATCAGCATCAACAGACCGTATCCGTTGGCAATCGAAGGAAAAACCAAGATTGTTACAGATAAGCCGCCGACTACACTGCATCCTTGCATGCGGTATCCAAACATCGACACCGCGCTGTACCCATCTCCAGCCCACCATTCCCGGACAGTCTGAGCAGTGAGCGGCAGCGGACGGACCCTCGCACGAACGCAATGTTATAAAACTAGCGGCCCGATCGCAGAGAAATATTGCACCTAGTCTAGTGCGTCACTAACGTGACACTAAACGGATGAGACCGTACTGAGGTGCGCCGACCCGCGCGTAACATCCCGGGGCGAATATTCTCCGGCCACGGACAATAATTGGAGGCAGGAAAACGGAGAGGTAGAGGGGAAGGAAGGGAAGAGAGAGAGAGAGATAGGGAGGGAGAGGGCGAGAGACGATATGGGAGTGAGGGGAGAGAGCGCGGAGTGGTGTCGTGGTCCGTGGCAAACCCAATTTCCCGCTGATCGGTTTCGAGCGGCGGGGTGGCCGGGTGTCGCGCTGGCTGGCCAGCGGACGGCGCCAGTGCCGGGCCGGCGGGTGATGCAGGGGCGGGTGGCGACAATCGGCGCTGTCCATCTGCGGCCGGTCGCGGACCGGCGAGCCGCCGCGGCCCGCCGACACACAATACCGCCGACAGTTTGTTCACCCCGACTCGGCTGCGCGCGGCGGCCCGTGTACGGCCGCCGCCACTGCACGGAGCAGCCGGGGACGGGCGGTCCCCGCCGACACCGACCGGCCCGCCACCCCCGCTGACCGACACACACCCTTTAGGAGGCGCTGACTCACAGGAGGGTCCGTACCGGGCGGGTGGCGGGTCGTCAGGGGCGTCGCGCCGTCGGTCCCGGCGCTCGGGGCTGAGGAGGGGTTCCGGCGCCGGAGTTGGATTGTCTCAGCGTGGGCCTTATCTCCCACGCCGGCCGGCAGCGGACGGCCACAAAAACGGCGGCCGCCACCCGGCTGCGCTCAGTATATCACATCACTGCCGCGACACCGAGCCGGCGGTACCGCGTCCGACGGCCGGCCGAACCGCGGCCAGTGACAGGCCGTGTCGGGGCAGCTGCATTCGTATCCCCAGATACAGGAACAAGCAATGAAAACACTTCACTGGAACCTAGTCATTATTTTATACTCATTTCAGCCTAAATGAAAACACTGAATACAATTCAATAAATCACTGTTCAGTTTGTCTTTCACCCCTGCACATATTGGATCCCATCATTCATAACCAAGAACTGCATCATGATCCATACCTGTGCCCAATGCCCAGCATAACCCTAGCTTCAATGAGACACAGCATGTCACTGTCACATGTCATAGTTCAATGTCACATGTCAAGTTATAACCCATAAGGTAACACTCCCTCAGGCTTCTTTCCACCCTTAAAGGGACCCTCCCACCTTAAAAAAGTTAATGAATTGGCATAAAAGTGATGTACCGTGAATCAGAAAGAGCGAAAATGAACATCTACCAAATTTCACCGAAAAATATTCACCCGTTTTTGAAATATAAGACTTTTATTTTATAACGCGCGGTCAATGGGCTTGATGACGTCATCATAGTCCGTTAGTGTTAAGAGATAGGGACTACGCTGGTCCCACCCTGCAAGTAAAGGGAAGAAATTTCTTGAACACTATAAAGCTGCGGGGGTTGCGACCAGGATAAATGGTGGTTTCTGAGCCTGGCCGCAAACTTGGCTATCTCAACTCAAAACTAATGTTAAGGTGGGAGGGTCCCTTTAAGACACCTTTTGATGAATAAACAAATGGCCCCACCTAGCAATGACCAGACACAAAAAGAAACCCAGAGGCAATTCCAGAGGGTCACCTAAGCACATAATTTAGATCAACTGTATACTTCAAACATTAACCCTACCAGAACACATCTGCATGAGCATTATTCATGAGTTGCAGATAAACAAACCATACTAAGGCTAACTTAATGTAAGAACTAAGAATCAAATATGGAAATTCAATTGATATTACCCATAGTCATAGAATGCACCTAATTATCACAAGAATACTTTGATCATTTAGCCAGAGCACATCAAGGTTGGTTTGTAAGGGTACCGAAAAAGCTCTCATCATTTCAGCTAAGTCAATGTGCATCCTGAACACTTCTAAGAGGTCATAGAGCAACAATGCTATTTCCTCGCACAATAACAATAGACTGGTAGTCATTGACAAAAGTACCTGACACCTTGCCAAACAGATTAGGAGATGTCAGTTTTGGCTTGGTTGAGGCCTTTTAAGTAAATGTCAATAATTTTTATGCTTGAGTTTATGGGAAATATGCAAGCCTATGGAGCTTCGCCTGTTATATCAGGCAAAGCCTATGGAGCTTTGCCAAGCTCAAAGTTAGACTTAGTCAAAGCTGACCAATAAAACTGCCATTAATGACAGCTGACTTTCTGAGGGCATCAAGGTCAAAGGCTGTGCTTTGCTTGTTTATTGGGGCTTTAGGGCATGCCGACTACCATCTACGACTGTGCGAAAATCTAGAAGGTAAGCGCACAAGCCACAAAGTGTAATGACTTTGACGCTCCACAGCACTTGTGGCTCAAACTCATTTAATGGGTTTCAAAAAATTGAATAAAATGTGGTTGCCTCAGTGTCAGCTGATTATGCAATAAACTAGGACAAAATGAATATCCTGTTGTGGTCGGAATGACCTATTTTGAACATGATTACAATGGAAAACACACCACAGCAGCTGTACAAAAAATGCCACTTACATGCAAACCTCCTGGGGCACAGCTGCTACTACTACTTGCTGTATCCACGACAAGGTGAGCATTCATCACCAAGTCCTCCACATATGCCACCACTCTGTCCACGACCACCTTTCCACAATGGTTCAGTGGACACACAGCCACAGGTGCTGGTGCACCAACACACCCAGTGGAAGGTGATCAGTTCTTCAATGCAGCCCCATCTCGAATTCTGGAACAAACCCATCAAACACATCAAAAATGCTATCAGAAAAAAACGGTGTGGCACACGACCACGTTGTTTACCAACGAGAACAACGCAATAGAAGTGGGGCAATAACCTTGCCCTATGATTGACAGAGGTTACAATGAAGATCACATCAATATGTCAGATGTATACAACAACACATGATTTATGGAAAGAGCTACAAATCGAATTGTTTTACCTTTTAAACTTCATTTGATGACCACGCAAGACCCAAACAGAAACGCCATTTTCCCCCCGAGGAGAAAGTAACCGACATCTAGCGGGAAAACATTTCTCGTTGTCAGACAAATACGTGGCTCACATTTGTGTATTTTTATTCTCTTTGTTCTTGTTTCACAATTTTCATATATTTCGCCTTGTATTTCTTTTTTTTCAGAAAACTTTAAATTTTATTATTTAATTTTTGAGAAGGAATGAAAATAGGCAAGTGTCGAATCAGCAAAATTCGAGCAGCATGGAAAATAATGACGTTTCCTGGTGCCTATTTCTCTCCTATCTCCTATAAAGCGATATGCAGGCTAAGAATTTTTTACTCAACGTATACATTGCTTACTTTCAGGATTTTGTAAATTGTTCTTTGTTTTCAATCAGAAAACAAAACATGCACAACTGACACTTCGGTAGCGTTGGGCGCGACATCTTTGAATAAGATTGTAAGCAGTTACACCATCCCCCACTGGGTGTCAGCGCAGTCGCACGTAATCGTCGGCGCATGGATCGGCACAGGGTGGACCCGGCTTGTATGCTCTTCAGATACCAGCACCCAAGTGCTTCATTGGCGTCTGATCGTGCTCAGCACACAATAAACAATATTAGAACTACATTGAGTTCATTGGAAGGTTTATTTCAACTTTCACGAGACGGTTCAAGCACATGACAAGTCAATTGACTTGTCCCTGACTTGTCAATTGACAGATGTACCTAAGCATCTGTCCTTAAGGACAGATGCTTAGGTACATACACGCGATAAATATTGGCAGCCTCCATGCAGTTGGCGGCCGAGTCCTGTGTGACGCGGAGAGGAAATCACTAGAGCCACTATCCGTACTCTCGATAATGTAAGACTCCGCCTGAATGCTGCCCACAGCCTCTGGACACGTCACATACAAAGCACAGACCGTACTTCGCCCAGTCCGCTAGAAAGTGCTGCAAGATAGCGGGCTTGCGTCGCGAGGAGACACTACCTAAAACATTTGTACAGTAAATGACACTCATCGCCATTATAAATCACCCACCCACCTCACTCCACAATGACCAGCATACGTTCCCCCATGGCCTGCACGCCTAAATCAGCTGGAACTAATATCGCCAGCCGCGTCCGACAGCCACACTTCCGGTCCCTGTATGAACACACCATCACATGTAGCCAGCCGCCGTGAGCGCTGCGGCACCCACAGACGCCGCCGGAGATCAGCGCCCTCCTTCCGCGGACGGGGATCGGGCGCCGCCCCGCCAGCCGAGGATCACACACCAACCCCCACACAGCCGCCCCCAGACGCTCCGCCCGCCACTGGCCCGCTCCAGCTCCGCGACCCCTGTGTTCCAGCTCAGAGATCGGTCAGACAGAGGACTCCAGAGCTGCCGTCACCGCAATCCCGGCGGGTCCCACCTGACCGGTCGGCGATTAATCCAGGCCTGGGAGCTGCACGACAAAGTCGGCGCCCGACAGAGACGCCAGACTGTCGTCTGAGCTGGGCGAGTCTGCCGGCCCGGCGCCGCCGGGGTCCGGCGCCGGCCGGCACCCGGCGCCGGTACCCGCCGATCTGCCCCGCCTCCCCTCGGTCCCCGGCGGCACTCTACTCAGAACAATCATCTGTCGCGACCTCTTCGTTGACGGATACTTCTTTGAGGGAGTTGCGCGATGCCCCCGCGGCGGTTCCCATCTGGCTGCTGCGACTGGCCTGCCGGCCCGGCCGGCCGGTGACGGCAGAGCGCGACTTCTCTCGGCGACCTGACTGAGCGGGACAGACTGGACGGCACGCGGCCCCGAGCGCTGATCAGACCCGGGCCGGCGCTCCGGTCCTTCCGTCGGCTGGCTCCTCGGCACGGCGTGCGAGCTCCGCGGCAGAGCCCCCGCGCCCACCTCACTGCTCCGCTCGGTGTGTGACGGCGCCGGCAGGCCGCTGGGCAGCCGGGGCTCCAGTCCGTCACTCAGCCCGAGGAGCCAGTGGCCCTGTCCGACCGGGTCACCTGGCTCGCCGGCCCAGCCGCACTCGGACGTGGCCGGCAGACTCCCCGGCCCGCACAGCTCGCTCCCCCGCTCCGGCGGCAGCGTCACACTGACCGTCCCACTCCCCGCGGACAGCCGCTGCCCCGGACCGGGCCCCGGCCGAGCGGGGACCACCGCCAGCCGCGCCAACTCACCCTCCGACTGGGTCCGCTCCACGGCCAGATCCACCGGCAGATCCACCGGCAGATCCACCGGCAGGTCCACCGGCAGGTCCACCGGGGACACGGAGGCCGGCCCGTCCCGGTCAGTCAGCTTCCTCTTGCGCGCGCCCGGCGGAGACACCTGCGACTTCCCTGCCAGCTCACGGATAGCCGGCGGACAGACAGAGTGCGTGGCCAGCGACAGGCTGCTGAAGTCGGAGACTGCCCTCCTCTGGGCGGCTCCGGCGCCCGCCAGCAGCGCCTCCTCACAGTCGTCCAGGGAGCAGTCGGACTCGAACAGGCCGCCGACCTGGGCCAGCTCCCCCAGGGTGGTGGACGGCGTCCAGCCGGGCGCCGCCGGGTCCAGCGTGGGGACCGCGGCACCGCCGAGCGCAGGCCCCGGTCCCACCGCGCGCCCCCGGCCTCCCGAACTGCCAGCACCCCTACACGATCGAGACGCGCCTACTGGTGATCGGCCCTGGGGCTTTGGCGTGCTGGCTTTGTCCTTGGATTTAGCTTTCCAGTTAAGTGCGGTACTTTTTGAGGTGGCAGATCTATCTTTAGAGGTGGCAGCTTTGGATTTTGAGCTGTTGCCCTTCTTCCTCGACTTGCAAGCGTTGCCGTAGAGGACCTCGGCGTTTTCTTTTGAATTCGATGCTTTGCTTTTCGGAGTACCACTTTTGCTTTTAGAAGTATTCTTACCACCGTATTCGTTCCCTTTACTGCTGGGTTTGCCCCTGGGTGTGCTTGCGTTGCTTTTCGGCGCGCATGATTTACCTTTTGCGGTAGCTGCTCTGCCCTTAGGTGAGCTGATTTTATCGTTTGAGGTGCTGGTTTTGTGTTTCAAAGTGCGGACTCTCCTCTTCGAAAAACCCACCGCTAGTTTTGGAGTGCCAGATTTCCTCGCTGGTGTGCTGTCTTTGCTTTTAGGCCCGCGACCTTTTCTTTCTCGTGAGCCAGTAGCGCCTCTCGACACAGGAGTGCGGCCGCTCGGACAGCGGGGTGCATTTCTCGAGTTGCCCATCGCTTCTAGTGCGTCAATCGTACCACCCGCCGCACGGGCAGTGTTCCCGGTGCTGACAGTCAGACGGGGGCGCGCCCGGCCCCCGGCGGCGGCTCCGAGAGTCACCGGCGTCTGCTCGGCGCCGGCCGTCACGTCTCCGGCGCCCTCCAGCCGCAGCACGCGCTCGCCGGGCCGGACGGTCAGCAGCCGGCCGCCGGTCAGCTCGGCCACTGTCGTCGGCCCGCCGGGCGGTTCCGCGCCGACCAGCTCCTCGCCGTCTGACGCGCGCGACGTGCGCCCCTGACGCACCGGTAGCGCGGGCAGACGGCGCACGGGCGCGAAGGCGGCGCCGGGCGGCGCCACCGCCAGCACGGCTCCGTGGGGCGCGCGCAGCGCCGCGCTCTGACGGTCGGCACTCCGCACCAGGATAAACTCCCGCGCGCCGGGCGCCGCGCCCGACTCGCTCGCCGGCACCAGACTGGCGCGCGTGCCCTCACACAGGAACACCCTGGTCCCCACACTGCCCGACGACACGGGCCGGCTGTCCTTCCCTCGGGCCGTACTGTTCGGCGCTGTGGGGGTGCCTTTGGCTCTGCGGGGCTTGCTGCGCACCTTATCCTTCAGCTTCCGCGCCGTGCCGGTCAGCAGCCGGGCCGTACCTCTATTTCGGGCCGCGCGCCCTGACGTCCCAGCTGGGACCGCGGCGCCAGACGCGAGGTTCGAGACGTCCGGCATGTGGATGGTGATGCCGGAGGCCTCCATCACGATGGATGTGCCTGACGCGGTGCCTGTGGCATCACCGCCGGCGGGGTCGGAGTCGGGCTCTGCCGACCGGGGGCGGGGCTGGCAGTAGGGACACCTCCTGCGCCGAGGCGGGCTCGCCATCACAGTCGCCAGGTCCGGCAGGTGGGCAAACAGCTCCGAGTTCCAGCTCTTGGCCGCGCCAGGACGACGGCTGGCCTCCGCTGCCGGATCAGAGTCTTCAGAGCTGGGAGCGGGAGACTTGCTCCTCGACTTTGCCGCACGTCCGGTCAGGCGAGCTCTAGTCACGCGCGCCGAGTCCTCAGAGGAAATGAACGTTCCTCTGGGCTTAGCAGCGCAATCCCTTGGCGGCAGAGTAGCATGTCTCGCTAAATGACTGTCACCTCGCGTGGGCTGAGCCGGGTCCCCAGAGGCGCCGGCCAGACCTGTTGGTGAGCTCGGCGTCCCCGTGTCTGCGGGCGCCGTGCTGTCCGCTGGGTCAGCCGGCCCACTCGCTCTGTCCGCCGGCACCACGTCCTCGGGGCCGACAGGGCTGCTATCGGACCCGACCCTCGGTCGACATTCAGCAGGAGGGCTGCCCAGCAGGTCCAGGAAGTCCGGCATGGAGCCGGCCGTCGGTTCCGGCACATCGGGCGGCACACAGCACGGTCTGTCCGGGTCAGAGGCTCCGTCCGCCGGGAGGGCCCCCGGGACAGCCGGCAGGGGCGGCGCCCGTGCGACGGCCGAGTCTGCTGCTGGAGAACCGTCGGACGCCAGCGCCGTAAAGTCCGGAAATTCAGCCGAGCTGTCCGGGGAGCCGGGCCAGCCAGAGACGGCAGCAGAGCCGGCGAGCGGAGCGAGAGAGCCACCACTGGGGGCAGCAGGGAGAACAGCGGCGGCAGCGGGAGAAGCCTGTGCAGGGATCACAGTAGCGGCGGCGGCAGAGGGAGAAGCCTGTGCAGGGATCACAGTAGCGGCGGCGGCAGCGGGAGAAGCCTGTGCAGGGATCACAGTAGCAGCGGCGGCAGCGGGAGAAGCCTGTGCAGGGATCACAGTAGCAGCGGCGGCAGCGCAAGAAGCCGCTCCAACGATCACAGTCGCGGCGGCAGTCCCCGAGCCGGCAGCAGCGGACAGGGCCGCATCGCCAGCCGCGGGACCAGCGGCGGCGTCCGTGGGGGAGACGCAGGCCGACTCCGGCGCGTCACACGGTCCGTCCGGGAGGGTGCCTCCGCCGGTGTCGGCCGACCGCCGGCCGGCGCCACACACACGGTCGGCGACACCGCCCGGTACCAGGCCCCCGGTACGGCCGGCCGGCGGCGGCGCGCCGCTCTAGTTGAGGAAGTCGTGCATGCCCGGGTCGTCCATCTGTCCGGGCTGCTGCGGGGCCATCTGGCCCGGCTGGCCGCCCATCATGATACCGATCGGCCCCGGCGGCCGCTGGATCATCTGGGGCCGGTAGTTCTGCGGACAGCGGGCACAGGGCGTCACACGGCGTTCGATGGGGAATTGGGGAGGGTCACACCACCGAGTGCGGTGCGAGTATGTATATAGGGGGTTACATGGGGCGTGTGAAAAACGAGATCACAAGAAAAATGACATACAACGGGGATACGCAGAGGAGTTACTGTAGACAGGCGAGGAGGGACCACAACAAATTGTCAAAAGAGAAGCCGCCGGGAGACCAGCATTCAGTGTGACAGCCCGCCCCGGCCGGCCGGCGGCTCTCACCTGCTGGAGCAGGGTGCGCAGTCCGGGCGCCGAATCCATCTGCTGGCGCGCCTGGACGGGCACGGCGCCCTGCTGGGAGACCACGCCGCCGGCGGCGGACTGCGCGCCTCCCGGCGGCACCATCTGGCCGCCCGGCTGCACCATCTGACCGCCGGCGCCCTGCACCATCTGACCGCCGGCGCCCTGAACCATCTGGCCGCTGGCGCCCGGCTGGAACTGAAAAAAAAACACAGACGGAAAGGCGTCAAACGGTGCACCCAGTTTCTTGCCGCTCTGCACAGCTTAACAGCTCACTAGACTGGTTTTTAATACAAACGAAACATCATTATTCATTATATCAAAGAAAAAAAAAACAAGCAACAAAATTACAAACAAAACACTATAAATGAACTTTGTTCTGAGCAGTGAGAAGGTATGGGTCAACGAGGGAGCCTGGAATATGTCAAGAGGTGGCAGGGTGATAACTCTCGCTTACCTCACTCAGTCGGCGAACCAACTCCTCTAACTCGTGGCACTCATCGCTCTGTTCAGGATCCGGCGATAAAACGTTCATCATCTCTAAAATATCGGCTATGTTCTCCCCGGACTGGGAAGGAGTCAGACTGTCAGACTGTTCTGTATCCAGTTCCAAGCGGCCGCCTTCACAGGCCTGTCCTTGCGGCTCATCGCTGGACCGCACTGTCGGCTCACTGAGCCACTGGGCGCCCTGCTCGGACCCGGGCTGCTCCGGGGCACTCTCCGGGGACGGTCCGGCGGGCCGGCGCCACTCGGCTGAACCCCGTCCCGCACTCGGGGGCCGTCCCAACTCGGCCGACTCAGCAGACTCAGAGCTCAGCGCGGCCGGTGCCGGCTCCAGGCCCAGACCTTCAGACTCCAACAACTCACGCCAAGGACTTCCATCTGAACTTATCGACGCGGAGGACAGGCTGCTGGGCCCGTCGGCGTCCCGCGCAGGACTGCGGTCACTGAGGGCCGCTCTGAGCCCCGACGGCCGCCCCGACCCGGGCTCAGTCTCGGCCGGGACCGGCCGGCCGTCCCACCCCGAGAACTCGCCATCAGCCGGCACACCGGACTCGGAGATACCGCCACAGCTGCGAGACTCGTCTGAATGGAGTCCCTCGGTCAGCGGGTGGCCCGCCTCGTCCGGTCCGGCCACCGCTGGCCGCTCGGGCCGCGGCGTCGGTAACTGGAAGACGTCTGACTCGAAGAGTTCATACGGCTCACTCCTCTGCTGTGGCTGACCAGCGTGTTCCGCAATAGTGGGCTGATCTGACATCTCCGCACCCCTAACCTCGCTCACACGGTGTACCAGTCCAGCCAAATAGTCGCAGGGCTCATCACGGGATGTGGCGTCTCCTTCAGTCTCGGGAGGCCGCGCGGGACGCTCAGACTCCACTATCTGGTAAGAGTCGCTGCCCGGGTGTCCGTACAGCGCGGCCCGATTCTCTACAGCCGACTGCGGCGACCCGCGAGCAGCAGCACTTTCTGTTACGGTCTGCGCGCGCCCGGTCTCACTTACACGTGCCTCCAGTTCGGACGATTGGGGGGACTCGGCCTGTTCCGTGGCGTTGGAAGGCAATGGCGGATACACTGTCCCAGGACGGTCCGGGTGTTCGCCATTCAGTTGATCAGGATGTGAAGACCCGAGGCAGCTGGCCGATCCGATTGACACATGTCGCCTGATATCAATGTCGTCTTCCTGTCTTTTGTCCCCGCCTGGTTCAATAAATAGACCAGGATTCGGGTCGTCAGTGAGTTCAATACCCACGTCAGTAAGTAAAACACCACTCGGTAAGTCCCGGACACGATTTACGTAGCGATCTTCTCTACCTTTCACTTTATCACTCGACTCTGTCCACGGAGGCGAGGGAACGCTGCTGAGCTCGAGAATCTCACTCAGCTCGTCACCCAGTAGCAGTGGAACCGACCGCTGCACGCTGTCACTGACATCGGAGCGGGACGCACCCCCGGCGGCGTCCCTGGTCCCTGGTGCCATCCCAGCCGAGTCGCCGGCCGCCCCACCAGTCGGCCCCGAGCCAGGAACGGCAGGCAGTGCGCGGAACTGGTCACCGCTGGGTCCACCGACTGCGTCCGTCAGCCCACCGCCGCCCTCCCCGGCCAGTCGGAGGACGAGCGAGCTGTCAGACGTAAAGCCAGTCGGTAGTGATTCCGAACCCAGGGCGGCCTCCAACGCCGGCGACGGAGATTCAGAGTCGAACAACTGGCTCGGCTCACTGCTCTGTTCAGTCAGAGGTAGATGTCGCGCAGTGGCTGGCTCTCTTGACTCGAGTAAACAAGAATCCTCAATCAATTCCTGAACCAGTTGAACGGCTTCCTCATTTAGTTCAACAATACGTTCACCTAACAATGCAGCATTTCTCTCGCCACTTGATTGGCAGCCAGGCTCAGCATCTGCGTCAGCCACAAGGTTGACATTAAGGTCAACTTCTGGCGGTGGCGGTGAGCATTGTGATGCGAAAAAGTCACACAACTCGCTGGGCTCTTCCGCCTGCAACACCGGGGAATAGCTGCCAGGCTCGCCCGACTCTAACACACAGCTGAGATCACCAAGCTCCTCAATGAGCTCAGCCAACTCGTTCCCCCGCGCACGACTCGGTTCGCCACCCCTTTCAGTAGTGAGCTCAGCAGCTGGCTCGCCATTGCCTTGATCTACTAAATCAGTAGGCTCACATATGTCTTTCTCATTCCGATCACCGGCCGCGAGATCTTGCTCAGCCCCGGGGGGCGACGGCCGACATTCCTCGCTGAGGAGTTCCGTCCAGTCCCCGTCCTCCGACTGGGGGGCCGACGTCATCCCCCCTCCCGGGGCGGCGCGCGCTCAGCATCACAGTCCGCACAGCTGGCACCACCACGGACCGAGAAATGCCACCAAACAGTCGCACCGTATCGATGTGCGGCCGCTCTCCACCACTCGGTCGCCCCTCGCAGCCACGCCCGCCCTCCGGCGCTGCCGCGGGAGGACTGCCGTGCGCGTCAGCTGACTGCGTGACCCGGCGCTCCGGTCACGCCAGAGGCGGCGCCAGGCACTCGGGGAGGGGAAGGGGGGGGGGGGGTGGATTCGACCTACCGGTCAAATCACGAACGACTTTCAGAACAATATTAATAGTAACGTTCATAGTTCAAAGCCTTACAGAAACCAGCCGACAGGCCGAGTTGCCGGACCATGATCCGTTTCCCCCTTTCCCTGGCGAATGCCCCCCACCCCCACCTACCGACGGATCGGTGTGACGCTGTTTATCGCACGGGCGGTTGCAGGGAGGGGACTGGGGAGGGGGGCAGACCACAGCACCTGCCATGGACACGGTGGCCCGTATAGCGAACCATAAACGGATTCATGGCCGGCCGCCGGTAACTTTTTAGGTCTTGCCCCTTGATGCATCCGTTTGACTAACACATTTAACCTTCGCAGTGGGGGGGGGGGGGCATATGTTACCACCCTGTCGCGTTTTTTGCGTGTGAATAAAAAACCGCGGCGCGTAGCGCCGCGCCGCTTGGGGTAGCTTTTGGTACATCAATTTTGGACAATGTGTGAAATTTTTGACCCCAGGTCATGTCATGTCAGGTCACCAGGTCAAGTTAACTGACCAAACATAAAAAAGTTTGCAATCATGTCCAGCCTGCAGTGTTTGTCAGAAATGTTTTAAACTTGGTGGATTGCATGCTGTTATGGGCGCCTACAATTTGTATATCTCGGATCTTTTATATCCGTAACCTAAGGTCAGGTCAGTGGCGTGACCTTTCCATTACAAGTCAATGGAGAAAAATGAAAATGCCTCTAGATCCGTGTGTACGCATAGGAACAGTCCAAATATTTCAGAATCACAATGATTTGGACCACCCGTGATGACCTAGGTGTCATTTTTGCTGATAGCCTCTAGAAAGGTCATCCGAGGTCATTTGAGGCTACAAACAGATTTTTGCCAATAACTCGCGATTGGAAAGAGTTAGAACGCTGGGGATGGTCTCTTTGTGTTTGTCTTGTTGAGACGCATCGACTGATATGAAACATGAACTTTTCCGGTCAGGTCATGACCTTGACCTGAGGTCAAATTTTCAAGTTGACCTTTCAAGGTCAAATTATAGTTCATTCGACGCGTCTCGGCGAGAGGAACACGATTCTGGCAATAGAAATGTCGTGGCTTTTTGTAGTCGAAAGTTATTGTCGAAAAACACTTTTCGTAAAAACAGCTATTTTTGGAGTTTTTGCCCTCTGGAGGCTAAACCGTTGACCTGAGGTCAATTTTGATAATGACCTTATCAAAAGAAGAGTTCAAAAGCTATCGATTGCTGTTCCATGCGTTTTTCTAGCTGCCATAGTTCCTGAGATAACGGCATGTTTTCTGAAAAATATAATGACAATTGGCAAATTTTGACCTTTGATGACCTCTGGTGACCCCAATATTGCTCTAAGATGAAAAATGACTGAAATACTTTCAAACGTACGCATTGAGAGCTATCGACTGCTTTTTACCGCGTCTTTCTAGTCCTCTTGGTTTTTGAGTTAGAGGTGGGTGGTAACATATGCCCCCCCCCCCCCCACTAGGGCGAAGTTGGCTGAGACCGCCACTGGGGCGCGGGTTAAGGCAGACTAGCGAGACCACCTATCTTGCTGTGAAGCCAGTCACAGCTCACGTCACCAGCGTTTGGTTCCGTATTCCACGTCAAATCGAACAAAAATCGGCTGTTTTGCACCTTACCATCAGCGATTTCATTATAAATTTGTGAGCGAGTTCCTGTGTGGCCCCGGACATTACATTGATGTTTTTTGCACATTCTGACCACAGGTCTTCTAAATATAGGGCATCAAATTTTTACAAAATGTTGCATCTTTATATTTTTGAACGACCATAACTTTGGTTGTACTTGTTTGATTTGAATGAAATAAACCTTACTGTTTAGGTTATTTCTTAAGCATTTGTTTAGAATTGCACCTACTTAAATATATGACCTTGAAATTTGCTTAACTCTGTTGTTAAGCACAAATATTGAAATAGCAAAAAACACGTCACCTTCGATTTGGCTCATTTTCATATATTTTATTGCCTACCATATTCTTAACAACCTGTGAAAAAATTAGAGTGGGCCATTCATAAGTTTTGAAGAAAATTGCACATATGCAAACGTATGTTAGCACGCGCAGTGGAGGGGGAAGAGCGAATTTCGCCCACCCCTCCTGTTTTTCGCCAATATCTCATAAGATTAATGCGAAATTAATTATGTCTACCTGTTAAGAATTGAATTGGACATCTCATCGTGCAAGCAATAAGAAAATCGGTTCACAACTGTTCTAGTAATAGCGGTGTAAAGTGAACATCCTGTCGCCGCAGCGACGCGGCGACTCGACAGCCGGCGCCGACCGCTACGCGCCGCCTGAATTGTAGACTGTGCCGGGACGGAACGGAACGGTTCCGTCTTTACATCGCGCTCCCTACCGCTGATTACGTTCGATTCGCGTCAAATTTTGTGAGAAGACTAAGAAATGTACAGGCAATCTTATGGTGAAAGAATTGTGAAAATCGGTTGGTAAACAATTGAAATATGAACGTGTAAACACAAAATTGTGATTGCTGCGTTTCCCGCACCGGCCGAGCCCGCCTCAGCCGGCGACATGTTACTCTTAGCAGGCCTCTAACTGCCATATTTATTATTGGATTAACTAGAAATTCCCCATACATACTAAAAAAATGTATGTTCTTTCGTATAGTGAAGATCAAAAGACGTGAAGATATCATTGCGTGATAATGTTTTCGTTGAATTTACTTCATGATGCATTTCCACACGGCTCAAAATTCACCGCAAAATACCGTTTGCCTGAAACACTTTTACTATGGAACGTGAATGCTTGACTACGATGACTATGCATTTCCATTCTCGCAGAGTTTGGGATATCACTAATCAGCAATCATTCATTTCAGAAAGTGTACACAAGCAAGCATGTCTTGACTCTGTCTTTCAAGGTCACGCGCGGTTGCGTGATGTTGATGCATGAAAACGGCGTTTGCCGCGAAAGTTATGAATGGCCCACTCCAATTTTTTCACAGATGGTTAGGAACATTGTGACGGACATAATATGTAAAAATTACCCAAATCGAAGGTGACGTGTTTTTTGCTATTTAAATTTTCTGTTTTAATTTAAGGTCAAATGCATTTCAAGGTCACTTCAATTTAATTTTATAATTAAAAATCAAAGCCTTATCAATTGCCTATAAGACCCTGTTAATATAATTTTGATACCAGAAAGGGAACCAGAGTTATAGCCATTTAAAAAATTGATGTGTGGCATTTTTCGCTATATTCGATGGCCTATATCTCAGCGATACGTTATCAAATTTCGAAAATATTATACGTAACTCAGTTTTGAACCATGCCCAGTCTGCCTACAAATTTTCAGAAAAATCGAAGGGGATGACGGATTTCGGTGTTTGATTTGACGTGGAATGCCCCGTACGCCATCACAGCAGTATTGGAAGAGTAGCTGCGGCTATATGACACTCATGTTAGCTGTTTCGTCATGTTCATTGTCCACTGGCCCGCCGAAAGGTCGTAGGCTGTATGTTCTCATCCTCTTTGCGATAACGGCCTGACGTTGAATGACGCGTTTGTTGCCCAGCCAGCGACGGATAAAAACCTCAGTTACATGACGACGTCGGACATAGCATAATATGTCCTGTTGTTCCCTCGGGGCTCTGAAGCCGGTATACGTATGTTGAGAGACATCCGAAAAGCTCACATGCCGACTAGCCGAGTCATTCAGGTTCCAGCGTAGCACGAACTAAGGACGACCTTGGGGTCCGAAGGACAGCTTATCAGCTACCGAGACTAAAGAATCCTGCCGTGAAGAGTTCTCGGCGGCGGGCTTGATAGCTAAGTAGACGGGCCAAATGTCAGTCCGATCCTCCTCAGCCCGACGGCCGACATTACACTGTTCTTGTCAGCCATTGGAGCCGTTGCAGATATCGAGGACATTCGAGGCTGAATAAACGGGTCTGAAGACGGGACAGACCGCTATGATTCCGCCGGTCTCCCCCTAAGCTAGAGCAGAGCAGGGGCTGCTGCCTTCCACCTGCTCTGCTGCTGACCCGATTATGGTCCTCCCGCCGACTCACCTGGTGGTGGACGTGGTCCTCACGCCGACTCACCTGGTGGTGGACGTGGTCCTCCCGCCGACTCACCTGGTGGTTGGACGTGGTCCTCCCGCCGACTCACCTGGTGGTGGACGTGGTCCTCCCGCCGACTCACCTGGTGGTGGACGTGGTCCTCCCGCCAACTCACCTGGTGGTGGACGTGGTCCTCCCGCCGACTCACCTGGTGGTGGACGTAGTCCTCGCGCCGACTCACCTGGTGGTGGACGTGGTCCTCCCGCCGACTCACCTGGTGGTGGACGTGGTCCTCCCGCCGACCCACCTGGTGATGGACGTGGTCCTCCCGCCGACTCACCTGGTGGTGGACGTGGTCCTCCCGCCGACTCACCTGGTGGTGGACGTGGTCCTCCCGCCGACTCACCTGGTGGTGGACGTGGTCCTCCCGCCGACTCACCTGGTGGTGGACGTGGTCCTCCCGCCGACTCACCTGGTGGTGGACGTAGTCCTCGCGCCGACTCACCTGGTGGTGGACGTGGTCCTCCCGCCGACTCACCTGGTGGTGGACGTGGTCCTGCTGCTGTTTGTACTGCAGCTCCTTCTGCGCCATCCTGGCCAGCTGCTGCCGCAGCTGCTGCATCTGCATCAGGTTCTGGTGCCGCTCGGCGTGGCCCGTCGGCTGAGAGGCCAGCTGGGAGGCCAGCGCGCCCTGCCGCACGGCACGGCACACTCAAAGACGGACCGGCGGCCACACTCGGCGGCAGACACGGGGTATTGTACCACGGCACACTCAGAGACGGACCAGCGGCCACACTCGGCGGCAGACACGGGGTATTGTACCACGGGGCACTCAGAGACGGACCGGCCGCCACACTCGGCGGCAGACACGGGGTATTGCACCACGGGACACTCAGAGACGGACCGGCGGCCACACTTGGCGGCAGACACGGGGTATTGTACCACGGGACACTCAGAGACGGACCGGCGGCCACACTCGGCGGCAGACACGGGGTATTGTACCACGGGACACTCAGAGACGGACCGGCGGCCACACTCGGTGGCAGATACGGGGTATTGTACCACGGCACACTCAGAGACGGACCGGCGGCCGCACTCGGCGGCAGACACGGGGTATTGTACCACGGGACACTCAGAGCCGGACCGGCGGCCGCACTCGGCGGCAGACACGGGGTATTGTACCGCGGGACACTCAGAGACGGACCGGCGGCCACACTCAGCCGCGGAGACAGGGTCCCACGGACACTCATGGCGGACAAAGGGATCAAATCCGCAAGAGCGCCGGTTGGAGGCCCAAAGCGAAACAAACACCTTAATATTCCACAGTCCACACATTCTTCACAGAATTGACTAGCCTAAGTTTCAAAATGTTTGAAATAAAAAGCTTCGATACCAAGCGAACGAAGAGCACATAGCGATTCTCATGAGCAGCCAGTAACATTACTGGGATCATGCTATTGGCTCCTCCGAGGTTCGAGGCCGGGTAATCATGGTTAACTTTTCACCGACTCAATGTATTGGGGGCGGGGGAGGGGGCTGACCTGCGGCACGTTGCTAGCGGGCATCTGCTGCCGGGGCTGCTGCTGCTGCTGCTGCTGCTGGAGGAGCTGCTGCTGCAGCTGCTGCGGCTGCGCCTGCTGCTGGTTCATGTTGATCTGCATCTGCGGCCCGCCGGCGCCCACCGCGAACTGGGCGCCGTGCGTCATCAGAGGGGGCCGCGCGCCGGCCGGCCCGGCCGTCTGAGGGGCGCGGCCGCGCACACCGCCTGCCGGAACACCGGGCCAGACAGGTCACACCAGGTCAGACAGGTCACACCGGGTCACAACAAGTCACAATGGGTCACAACAGGTCACACCACGTCAGACAGGTCACACCAGGTCAAACAGGTCACATCGGGTCACAACGGGTCAGACAGGTCACACCGGGTCACAACAGGTCACACCACATCAGACAGGTCACACTGGGTCAGACAGGTCACACCGGGTCAGACAGGTCACACCGGGTCAGACAGGTCACACCGGGTCAGACAGGTCACACCAGGTCACAACAGGTCACACCAGGTCAGACAGGTCACACCAGATCAGACAGGTCACACCAGGTCAGACAGGTCACACCGGGTCACAATATGTCACACAGGGTCACAACAGGTCAAACTGGGTCAGACAGGTCACACAGGGTCAGACAGGTCACACCGGGTCACAACAGGTCATTCGAGCACTCCGGAGTCGTCGCGAACCTACCAAATACATGCGACCGGTCCAGCTGCGTACAAGGCCTTGGACAAAGCCCCTGAGAGTGACTGTTGAACTGAGGACCACCGGTTTGTCTCGCCCTGTGAGACCATGACTTGTCTCGCCCTGTGAGGCCACTGGTCTGTCTCACCCTGTGAGGCCACTGACCTGTCTCGCCCTGAGACAGCTGGCCGCCGCCCAGCGTCATCGGGTTGGTCTGCTGGATCAGCACGCTGGGTCGCGGACCGGCCATGGCGCCGCCTGGCGGCTGCTGCGGCTGTGGCTGCTGCTGCTGCGGCTGGCCCGGCCCAGCCATCTGCTGCTGCGCCGCGCCAGCCATCTGCTGCTGCTGCTGTTGCTGCTGCTGTTGTTGGTGCCTCTGCTGCAAAGGCAGAAAGAAAAAGGCATCATAGCAGCAACAGAAACATTTCATCTAGCAGACACCCAAACACAAGCTATGTAAAACAAAGCCGCGGAAGTAAATGCATGTACATTTCATGTACCTACACCCAGTTACTTTGGAATTGGGAGTTACTTTGCAACCACATCCCTACGGTACAGCTCAACAGAAGTCCCAGGACAGGACACACGTCTGATCTTTCAGCTACCTTGAGTGTCAGATACTGTTTCTGCTTGGCCATGACTTCCTTGAGTTTCTCGATGAAGCCGGTCTGATCGTTGGGGATGAAACCGAAGTAGGTCTGCTTCTCGGCGGCGTACAGCAGCATCATCACCTTGACGTCCGTCGGCGTGGTCGAGTTGAAGTAGACGCAGCCGGTCTGGGGACCGAGAGGACACCGTCAGCGCCTCGGCGCCGGCAGCGTCCAGTCGCTACATTATTGTCAGACTTCACACCGTCCCGTGACCCGTCCGGTGACACTGTCCCGTGACCCGTCCGGTGACACTGTCCCGTGACCCGTCCGGTGACACCACACCGTCCCGTGACCCGTCGGGTGACACCACACCGTCCCGTGACCCGTCTGGTGACACTGTCCCGTGACCCGTCCGGTGACACTGTCCCGTGACCCGTCCGGTGACACCACACTGTCCCGTCCCGGCCACTCACGCTGCCGCTGCTCATCACTTGGCTGAGTCGCTCCAGCGGCTCGCACGGCTGCAGGTTGAACTTGACCGAGCGGATGTTGTCGAAGTAGGCCTTGCCGATGGTGCTGATGACGTTGCGGTTGATGAGCTGCATCATCAGCTTGTTGGGCCAGTTGTCCGCCTTCCTGCGGTGCGGGAGAGGGAAGAAAACGGTCACTCACGGACAACACACTGGAGTTTGGTCAGTAAAACCGCAGCCCCGGCTGCGCATCGAGTAAGTCGGCGACCGCATATCGTGTGCCGAGGCTACAATATTTCACCAAGTGACTTTCCACAAGTATGTGTAGACAAATAAGTGGATGGACCTACATATCTGTTCACTCTATCGTCGTTTGTTTGATCCCAGGGGAGGTTCTTCGCTATCTCCCCTGCCTATTAGTATCTCCTCCTATCCCCTGTCCCGGTCACCCATCTGGCACCAGTAACTCCGGCTCGGACCAGTGTGGCCAGTCGGGACCCCCCGTGACTGCGACTCGGACCAGTGTGGCCAGTCCGGACCCCCATGACTCCGACTCGGACCAGTTCGGACTCCGACTCACACTTCGGGCTCTCCGTTGGCGTTGGCGCTGCAGCTCAGCTGACACGGGATCGAGTGCACCTGCTTGTTGGCCTCGCCCATCCTCTTTTCGGACCACTCCAGCGTGCCCTCCCAGATCTTCACCTGCGCACGGAGGGAGCCGTCAGGCGTACGGACAGATACGGACGCCGCAGTGCCTGCGCTCAGCGAGCCAGGGACTGGGGGGACAACGCGACCACGCCTCAACGATCCCAAATGGAACGGTATAGCTACCCGGACAACCTCATCTGCGTAACTGAATACTGTACACTGTTAGTGAGTTGCGAGTAATTATTTATGATGCACCAGTCTGCGTACCGGGTGCTGCTGCTGCTGCATCCTAGGCTGCTGCTGCTGTTGCTGGGCCTGCTGCTGCTGCTGCTGCTGGAACTGCGGCTGCTGCATGCTGGGCCCCGGCTGGCCCACCATACCCTGCTGCTGCTGGGGCGGCTTGGGTTGCTGTTGCTGTTGCTGCTGCTGCTGTTGTTGCTGCTGCTGCTGCTGTTGCTGCTGCTGTTGGATGCCGAAACGCGGCACCTGCGCCCGCATCATACCACCGACCATACCGGGCACTGCGGACACGGAGAAACCGGACACATCATACCACAAACCATACCGGACACTGCGGACAAGGACAAACCAAACCGGACAGTGTCCGCATCATACCACCAACCATACCGGTACTGCGGAGACGTACAGCTCAATGGACAGCGGACCCAATCGGCGTCCACCCGGCCGCTGCTGACTGTGACCCACTCACCCTGTTGCATTCCCGGCTGCTGCTGCTGCTGCTGCTGCTGCTGCTGAAGGAAGACCTGGTTCGGCTGTGGATTGGTGGCCATCGGCGGCTTGTTGAGCTGCGACCTGAGCACCGAGTTCTCCGCCGGAACGCCCACTGACTGGGGCATCGACGTCTGCGGAATACCTGCCGGAGGACAGGAAAAAGAAAAAGACAGGTTGCAGGTCTGAGGAATACCTGCCGGAGGACGGGTCGACGTCTGAGGAATACCTGCCGGAGGACAGGGGCGTCTGAGGAACACCTGCCGGAGGACAGGGGCGTCTGAGAAACACCTGCCGGAGGACGGGGTCAGCGAGCGGCGACCAATCGTAATCGAGGCGGCGGGTGACAGCTGTCATATTCATTTCATGGAACTATTTAGGGGGCAAAACAGCACAAACATTTTTTTCGATCGTTATAATAATTATCAGGCTCCCACAAAAAGAAACACGCCATGGCCCAGAATAACGATGTTTTTCCGCCTCCGGCCGCCGCACAGTCAGCCCCAGTGCCGGGCCGGACCCCTATGGCAGCTGTCCGTCCCGAGTGGCGCCCCGCGGACGGCGAGTGCTCCGTACCGGTCATGCCCTGCTGCTGGCCCATCTGCTGGCCCTGCCACAGCTGCGGGCCGCCCATCAGGCCCTGGCCGGCCGGCGTCTGCACGGTGACGTTGGGCGGGCCCTGCTGGCGCAGGCCGGACATCACCTGCATCCCGGCCGGGCCCGTCGGACGGCCCGCCTGCATCATCTGCTGACCGCGCACCATAATCTGGGGGACGGAGGTCAGCGGACAGAAGTCAGCGGTCAGAGATGTCAGCGCCTCATCGGTCAGATGTCAGAGGTCAGCGGTCAGAGAGGTCAGCGGTTAGAGAGTTCAACCCAGTCACAACAGTCAGACGTCGGAACGGGTACTAAACACTTAATAGTATAGTAAAGTAAATTAACTGCGCTCGCTGCAGCTGGACGCTCCCCCAGTCTCCCCAGCGCGACACTCCAGCTGACCACCCCTCGCCCCGCCCAGGTCGGGCTGCCGCAGATGTACCCACCGGGCGGTGCTGGTAGCCCTGGCTGGGCACCGGGCTGGCGCGCTGGTTGGGCGGCGTGGTGGTGCGCATCTGGGCCATGTTGATGATCATCTGCGGCTGGCTCATGGCGCCCTGCGGCGGCTGGCTCATCCCCGGCGTCAGACTGTTGATGGGCGCGCCTGCTGGACCCACACACACAAACACACACACTCAAGTACAAGTACCTGCACACGGACACGGTCATTGCAGATAAAGCGAAATCCATCATGATGCATTATAATTATCCAAAGTCGCATTCGACATGTCTTTAGAGATTACAAAATTTTATGAAGTGAATATTGTAACGGCTCGAGCCGTCCGTAGTTTGGTACTGTATTGTATTTACTACAAGCACCCACAGGCAAACGCCCTTTTAACGGGTGCAGTCAAAACAGTACATAAAATCATAAACAAGATGAGGTGAAAACACAAACGATTCACAACACTGTAGTTAAAAGCACGGCATAACATAGGTAGGTATCTACTATAAGCAACACTAAAAAGAAAACAAGCTAAAAGTATACACTAAAAGGAAACATGCTAGTACACACCGGCGGCCTGACCGAATGAATATGCAGCAGTTCTGAAGGCTCCAAGTGTTGCCGTGAAAAAGTCAACTGTACTGTTCGCGGCTACGAGGGCGTTACAGCTGTTAGGAATTCGCCCAAACATAGAGTTTTTGACAGTATTGACTCGTGCTGGTGGGATATTCCACAGCCTGATGTTGCGCACCCCTCTACTAGGTGCTGAGAGTGAGAACCTTGTGACCAGTTGCGGGCAGTCAATCTGACCATGGAAAATCTTGAATAAAAACATGAGGTCGTGTTGATGAAATCTCGATTTGATGGATGGAACCTGAAAATGAAACAGTACCTTGCTGCTGCGGCTGCATGCCGGCCGAGATGACGATCTGCTGCGGCATCTGCTGCGGCACCTGCTGCGGCGGCGGCTGGCTGCTCGCCTGCTCCTGCAGACTGCGCGGGCACACAGCGGCGCGGGTCAGTCAGAGCAACACAAAGATGTGGTGGATGGTTGGGCATGTCGGACGGCAGCCGACAGTACCGAAAGCAAGGCTGGAGCAGGAGTGTCAAGGCGTCACCGGGAAGTGAGAAACTACAGCGAATCCCAGAGCTGAGTAGGGGAGCTCGGGGCCAATGGCGGGGGACTACCCACCTGAACCTGTTGAGCAGAATCAGGTGGTGCGGGTCGCGCGTGTAGTTTTTGGCGTGGTTCAGCGCCACGTCGCCTCCCGCCTGCTCAAACAGCTTCTGAATGCCACCCAGCCGCCGCGGACACATCACGGAGAAGTAGATCGAGCGCTGCCGAGAGGGGAAACGTCAGCACCGGGCGGACAACGGGAGACACCGGCCTGCTCCGAGAAAACTGCCGTCGTTCTCAGCTCTTCACGACAGCATGGGTTTCTGTCTAGAGCAATGGACATTTCACCAGCTGCCAAATGCATCATCCTACCAAACAAGAGTGTAGTAAATATACACATGTAGTGTGTCAATATAACCATTACTACGCTGCGAACCGTCACCTCACCCTACCCCACTCTGCGCTCCACCAGGCCATCAAGCCACCCCGTCCGGCACCTCGTGGATGCCGGCGATCAGCTGGTCCATGCCGGCGCCCAGGAAGCTGGGCGTCTCCTGGACGGGCAGCTGGAACGGCAGCGAGTTGCACACCAACACCAGGTGGCGCTGCGCCGGCCCAGAGGACGACGGCTCCCGCAGCTGCTGCTTCAGGTCGTCGAAACACTGCAGCGCGCACGCCACACCTTCGGCGATGCACGAGACGTTGTCGCACGTGCCGCCGATGTACCTGCCGCGGAGAGGGTCGGGCGTGGAAGTCGCTTTTGACTGAGGCAGCAATGATAGACAGCTACATGACGATCAGCAAGAGGAGCAACGGTTTGGCACAACACTGCATTTCACCTATAAATGGCACCAAGAATATCCAAATGAATCAGCTTCATCCAAGCGTAGTTAGATAATCACACCACAATTGATGCATCTCCTGTCTGCACTGCCCCAGCAGTCCCCTGCCCCTCTCAACTCACTCAGCATGCTCGAGGTATTGTAAAAACTTGTCAGTGGACGGTGTGGGGTGACAGCAGTTGACAGGCGGATCTGGAACTCCATCCCCCGCGGTGAATGTCACCAGGGTAAACAGAGTGCCAGAGAGACGGCCGCCATACTTGGCCAGATCTGCTGCCGAGCTTGGAGGAGTGGCCATCTTGGAAAAGTATCTAGAAGCACACCGCAAGACAAATCAAATGCAATATACATAACAAACAGTTTGTGATGACTCAGTATGCCTAAAGGCAGTACAGCATGTGATACTGCTGCATAAATAGGCATTCACCTATAAACTGAATCTAGGCTCTAGCAGGGGAATGTAACAAGAATGGCAGACCATGCGAGCCAAAAACACTTACTCCAAGGTGGGTTTGATATAATTGTCCAGCATCTCTGGCAGGTAGGCGCCATTGAGGGCCGTCGCCTCCACCACAAACACCACGTCAGCATCAAAGGTCTGATCCTGACGACCCAGCATGACAGCTGCGACCTGAGAGCAGATGAGGTCATGTAATATGTATCAGTAATACAGCCATTCAAATGGTTGACAAAACACATTGCACTGCTAATATTGTATAATGGTCGGTAGTAAAGCAGGCATCACACTTGTTTATTCCAACAGCTAGGTTGTAGGTTTTAGGTTGCAGGTTTTAGGTTGTAGGTTTTAGGTTGTAGGTTTTAGGTTGTAGGTTTTAGGTTGTAGGTTTTAGGTTGTAGGTTTTAGGTTGTAGGTTTTAGGTTGTAGGTTTTAGGTTGTAGGTTTTAGGTTGTAGGTTTTAGGTTGTAGGTTTTAGGTTTTAGGTTGTAGGTTTTAGGTTGTAGGTTTTAGGTTGTAGGTTTTAGGTTGTAGGTTTTAGGTTGTAGGTTTTAGGTTGTAGGTTTTAGGTTGTAGGTTTTAGGTTGTAGGTTTTAGGTTGTAGGTTTTAGGTTGTAGGTTTTAGGTTGTAGGTTTTAGGTTGTAGGTTTTAGGTTGTAGGTTTTAGGTTGTAGGTTTTAGGTTGTAGGTTTTAGGTTGTAGGTTTTAGGTTGTAGGTTTTAGGTTGTAGGTTTTAGGTTGTAGGTTTTAGGTTGTAGGTTTTAGGTTGTAGGTTTTAGGTTGTAGGTTTTAGGTTGTAGGTTTTAGGTTGTAGGTTTTAGGTTGTAGGTTTTAGGTTGTAGGTTTCAGGTTGTAGGTTTTAGGTTGTAGGTTTTAGGTTGTAGGTTGTAGGTTCAAAGGTTGTAGGTTCAAAGGTTGTAGGTTTTAGGTTGTAGGTTTTAGGTTGTAGGTTTTAAGTTGTAGGTTTTAGGTTGTAGGTTTTAAGTTGTAGGTTTTAGGTTGTAGGTTTTAGGTTGCAGGTTTTAGGTTGTAGGTTTTAGGTTGTAGGCTTTAGGATGTAGGTTTTAGGTTGTAGGTTTTAGGTTGTAGGTTTTAGTTTGTAGGTTTTAGGTTGTAGGTTTTAGGTTGTAGGTTTTAGGTTGTAGGTTTTAGGTTGTAGGTTTTAGGTTGTTGTAGGTTTTAGGTTGTAGGTTTTAGGTTGAAGGTTTTAGGTTGTATGTTTTAGGTTGTAGGTTGTACTTTTAGGTTGTAGGTTTTAGGTTGTAGGTTTTAGGTTGTAGGTTTTAGGTTGTAGGTTTTAGGTTGTAGGTTTTAGGTTGTAGGTTTTAGGTTGTAGGTTTTAGGTTGTAGGTTTTAGGTTGTAGGTTTTAGGTTGTAGGTTTTAGGTTGTAGGTTTTAGGTTGTAGGTTTTAGGTTGTAGGTTTTAGGTTGTAGGTTTTAGGCTGTAGATTTTGTAGGCAAGGTTAGGTCAGGTTTGGTTAGGTTTAGTTTGGTTTGATTAGAAAGCATCTTTGGGTAAAGCGCCTCTCCTTGGTTGGAAAAAGAAGTGTGATGCCTGCTTTACGACTACCTAATGGTCTAATCAATCTAGATGTGTAATGGTTTCACACACTGTTGCCTGGTTATCAACACATATAAATATTAAATGTGAGTAAGGCAAGCGAAATCATAAAAATATCAATTTGTGCAAACCTTTCAACTATTAAATTCAATGCATGCTTACCAGTTTCAAATTGATTCACCTTAAGCCCGGCCAGCAACCGCATAAACTCAAAATTTTGCATTTGTGAAGATTCCCCCCCCCCCCCAAGAAAATCAGCTTTTTGGAAAAGTTAGGTGGAAAGTAGGCACCTACATGAGTGTTTAGTGTTTCTGTGCATGCAGAATTTTCCCTGATATCAGTTTCTGTGGTTTTCCTGAATTTCTACATGATGTATTTCCTATCGCCGGCTGAACTCGATCTACGTAACAATTTCTTGCAAAACTTAACAAGAAGCATGACGTGCATTATTACCTGGAGGATCACTCGTAGTTTTTTTTTATAAATTTAGTCCGAACCTTTTGATGGGAAGGAATCACAAGGACAGAGCCACCGCTAAGCGAAGCTTGTTGCGGTGACCCTGCCCTCTACCCTCCGATCGCGCAATTCCGATACTATGGCAGAATTTAGAGTCCAAAGTTTAACGTGCGCACAAAGCCGCGCACGGCCGGTCCCCTCGCTGACTTCGCCTGGCTACGGCCTGCCACCAACCGCAACCATACCTGTCAGGAGGCCCGTAAATGTCGAGCGCCCGTCGCGCTTCGAACCCGGACTGTCACAACCGGGAACGCGTGCTCTCACCACGCGGAGTCCAACGCTCTAACCAACTGAGCTACGGGACCGGCTGCTGGCCGGGTTTGCACAACCACCAAGTTAAGCTTAGGCTTTGAGAATTTCGTCAGAGGCATTTGCTTACCTACAGTAGCAGTACAGCAAAGGTTAAAATAGTGATAAATAGTTATTTTACGGTCTTAACGCATATGTATTGTCACCCAAAGGTTTATTCGTTGTTACCTGTTTAAGCTGTTGTGCTCGAAATCAGATGAAGAAAACAACAAAATAACTTATCACTGCAACATCCAGCAAATGGCCTGAGCAAATGCGATGATAGCTCAAAAATAATCAAAATAAGTGATACGTGCTTTCTTATGCACGCCGGTGAAAACAGGGCGCCGGAGGGCATATTAGTCACGTGACATTTGGAACTTCTCCCCCTAACCTGAGCCCTGATCGGCGGCCGGCTAGTACTCTTGCCCGCGCTCACATACGTGCACGTTACCCCGGCAACGGGCTATTGACCAATGAGAAGCGAGAAAAGTGTTACGTCACTGCGATTTTTCATATACCTGTGCCCCCCGGACGTGACGTAGTGTGCTCGCGCGCGTGCAGGGTCTCTGCGATCGAAAAAGAGCGCTAGCAGCGCGCCACTCGACGCCGCAATTGTCAAAAGCGGCGTGTTAGTATGCTTTATTATGAATGATGTGTGTAAAAGTGAGTTTTTATGTTGTTTATTTGGAGGAAATGGTTGGAATAAATTAAGTTATTTTTATTTCTGTTAGTTGGAGTTTTTATTCAAAAGATTTCGGTCTATACCATTGATATTTACTGAAAATACCTTCGCTTGAATAAATTGCAGATATTTGGCAACTGAAGTGTTACCCTAGAGAAAAACCATTAGCAATGGTCTAATGGTCTAATGGTCTATATGGAAATTGAAACCCTAATGGTCTAATGGTCTAATGGTTTGTAGTGGTCTAATGGTCTGATGGACAGATGGGCTAATGGTCTAATGGTCTAATGGTTTCTTATGGGCTAATGGTCTGATGGTCTAATGGTCTGATGGTCTAATGGTCTGATGGTCTAATGGTCTGATGGTCTAATGGTCTGATGGTCTAATGGTCTGATGGTCTAATGGGCTAGTGGTCTAATGGTTTCTTATGGCCTAATGGTTTCTTATGGTCTAATGGTTTCTTATGGTATGATCACCATACCACAAGAAACCATTAGACCATAAGAAACCATTAGGCCATAAGAAACCATTAGACATGTTTTCTGATAGTCTATGGGTTACAAATGGTCTCAATGGTAACAATGGTTTCTGGTGGTATCTTGTTAAAACATTCATATGGTGCAAATCCGATCTATTAACATTGGCATTCCACATGGTAATACATGACATAACAGTCCCCAGCATTCATTTTTCTCTGCCATGTTCGGTCCCATGTATGTACAGGCACGGATCTTTTTCAGCCGTGTATATTTTCACATTTGGAGCCTTGTCTTTTTTCCAATGAAGGTCTAGGAATTTTGTTTCATTATGAATCGGGATTTTTTTCAGTGTATGCTCCGCCTGTGTCTTCTGCCCCTCGCTTCATCATGTGTCTGTAGTTAACCTGTAACAAAAGTGCACCTTTACATGGTTGTCTTACTTACCAATTGTTAGTTGAGCTTTACATTTTTTTTTTTTTGCTTTTTTACACTTTTGATTATTTGATCATAAGTTGAAATTTTTTATTTTCTATAAAAAGGAGAACTGGTAAATGCACAGGGTGGCTCACGTAAAACACCTGATTTGAAACTTGAATAACTTCCTTCAGTCTTAATTAAATTTGAAGATATTTTCACACACTGTAGGTACATATGTTTGGGATTATATTCATCCAATTTTCAGACAAATCCACTCACTTTCAGCTCAGTTGTGCATCTCAACGTGACCCCATCGTTTTCAGTAACTTTCTTGAGGCGCTCGTGGTATGCCAGCGTATATTCCCTGCGCATCTCGACGGTGATCCCTGCAAAGGCGGCGATCCAACCCGACCTTACAAGTTACAACTCCAGAATGCTCGCCGACCACGTCACGTACACCTTCGAGTTCATAAACCCCTATATTTAAAAAATCACATGGGGTGAGGTCGGACTTTACTTAACCTGCCCTGGTTATACCCTGGTTACCGCGCTTGCCCAATCTGCTTTGCCGAATCTGCCCTGCCCCAGCCCATCGCGCACGGCCGACCTCACCCCGCGTGACTTTTTCATGTAGGGGTTTGTGGAGTCGAAGGTATACGTGACGTGGTCAGCGAACATTCTGGAGTTGTAAGGTCGGGCTAGAGCCGCCTTCCCAGGGATCACCGTCGATCAGATGCACAACTGCACGGAAGCCGCGCTGGCATTCCACGAGCGTCTCGAGAAAGTTACTGAAAACGATGGGGTCACGTCAAGATGCACAACTGAGCTGAAAGTGAATGGATTTGTTTGAAAATTGGATGAACAATCCCAAACAAGCACCTACATTGCGTAAAAATAGCTTCAATTTGAAAGCCTCACGTGAATTTTCATACGGCCTGTAACATATGCACTATGTACCTATATTAGGTACATTAAACATTACTTACTTCTCAGTTCTAATGGCAATTTTTTGGGGGTGAGCCTTTGCTTCGTCTCACACCCTTGAATCCGGTTCCAAGGTGTGCAGGTGACTGACCGGTCTGCTCTTCCCCCTCCTCTCGGTTCTCGTGGCGCTTCCTCTCCTGCTGGCGGTGGGTCTCTCGGGTCTCTCTACGACGCTCACGGCGACGCTCAGCGTTCCGCAACGCTTCGGTCTCGCGCCGCGTCTGCGCTAGCCGTTTACGGCGACGGCGCTGGGCAACGGCCCGCACGGCGAGGCATCTCCAAACGTTCTCACGCACACAAAGTAAACACACTTTAACTACAAAACACTACATAATTAATAACACTTATGGCGGTAAAAAACAGCGGAATCTTTCTCGGGTAACACACCGTTTCACCGATAACCTATCATATAAAGCAGCACAGAAGGACGCGAATTGTAAACAAAAATTTCACAAGCGGCAAATAAAGCTGAAAAGATTTGCCCATTGTTGCTATTCATTCTTTATTATTCCTTAAGCATCCTCGGAATTAGGCGAGTTGTGTTCTTTAACACACTGGTTCCTCTGAATCAGGTGATTTATTGGTGAGTTACTGACAATGATGTTTCATGATCTCCCAGGCAGGAAAACCGCATAAGTTACCGCAAAACGCGGTATGCGGCATTCGAATAACCGTTAAAAAAATAATGCAGAAAATGCTTCTAAAATACCTATAGGTCAATAATAGGTCAATGATATAATAGGCTAGTTATATCATAAAATACTATTAGGTCAAAGGTCAGGTCACCAGAGGTCATCAGAAGATCAAATTTTGCCATTTCTTAACAAATTTTGACAAACCGGAGCAGAACTCGGGAGCCAATAAAGCCTGCAACGCCGCAGGAAAACGCATTCGATAGCTCTTTTCGAGTAGGTAGGAAAGTAATATTGGCTCTTTTAACCCACGAGCCGCTACAGGGGGGGGGGGGAATAAAGTTGCCTCGTATGTTTTGTGTGATATCCTCTATATTCAAAGGATGTCATTTGGTCCGTTATATTCAGTCTAATATATCGGATATATCGTAAGAAAAATCACCTAAAATTGGACTTTTGACGTCACTGTTACGTCATTTCAAATGGTATCCACACCAAATTTGGACACAACCTCGGCTAGCTATTCAGGAATATATGTGCAAACTTCTGAGTATATCGACAAGGCTCTGCTTCTCAATCTCTTCGCGTTACGATGATATTGCCGCAGAAACAGGGCAACTATATGCTTCCTCCCCCCTCCCCCCATTGCCCGGCGGGTGGGCGGTGGCGCAGAGGCCCATCAGCCGCCGGGTTAACCCTTTTTCTGGAATGTGTCCTCAGCTCTGAACTAAATGAAGTCTCCAGAGGGCAAAAATTATAAAATAGCTATCTTTATGAAAAATGTGTACTTTCATAACTTTTCTCTGAAACTCTGAAAGTTTCAAAGCGATCGTTCAGACCGCTGTCGATGCAGCACTCCTTACATAATAAAGCACAGTTAGTGTTTAACAACATATTCAAGATCAATAAAAAGCCATTACAGGACCATTAAAAACCATTAGAACACCATTAGACCATCACAATTTTGAAACCATCATAAATGAAAAGATGCCATCAGAACACCAACAGAAACCATAAGAATACCTGTTTGGAGCCCAAAATCAAAACTATTGAAAACCATTAGGAAACCATTAGACCACCAAGTATACCATTTGAAACCATTAGTGACCGTCAGAAACCATAACAATACCATTAGAGACCATTAGACCATTAGACCATCAGATCAAATTCCATTAGAAACCATCAAACACCATTGGAGACCATTAGAAACCATTAGGACACCATTAGAGACCATAAGAGTACCATCAAATTCCATTAGAAACCATCAAGCACCATTGGAGACCATTAGAAACCATTAGAGACCATTAGAGCATCATCAATTTCCATAAGAAAACCATCAGAAACCATTAGACCATTAGACCATCAGATCAAATTCCATTAGAAACCATCAAACACCATTGGAGACCATTAGAAACCATTAGGACACCATTAGAGACCATTAGAGCACCATCAATTTCCATTAGAAAACCATCAGAAACCATTAGAATACCATTAGAGACCATCAAAAACCATTAGAGACCATTCAAGACCATTAGAAACCATTAGAAAATCCTAATGGTTTCTAATGGTTTTTTCTCTAGGGGGTAAGCCTAAATGATATGTAAAAAGGTAAGAGACACCCTGATATCATTTGAGAAACGAAAATATATGAATTTTCCTTATAAGACTCGCTGAATATGCTACTCCGCGGTTTATGCCCCGAGGGTGTCCGAGGGTTCCCGTTAGTTTGTCGTTGGCGCTCGGCTCGCGCGCGAGCCGACGTCACCGCCTGTGACGTCGGCTCGCGAAATACGTCATACCCTGCACACAAAATAGCCGGCTGCCGAACAGCGCTCTGAGCCTTCTACATACGAAACGTCACGTGTGAATTTCACGAACCTTGATCAAATCGCCCCAGGCGCCCTGTTTTCACCGTCGTCCTTTCTTATGACCAAGAATATGTGGCGCACATGCACATGTTATGCCGCTGCAAAATTATTATTAAAACACTTCTAAAAGCTATCAATGAAAAAAGTTGATAAATAGTCATTTTTCATCTAGTAATGGCGAAAAAGTCGAATATCAACTGTTTTTGTGTCTTCAATTAGTATTCAATGTTTCTTAATTCGTTTTTATGAATCTTTGCATTCATTTTTATTAAAATAGGTTGTCAGAAGCACGGGTCAGAAGTTGGGTCAGAAGCATGTCCCTTTATGTAAAAAAACTGCTGTAGTATAAGTCGTCTGCTTCCGCCAGGTCGGAGTGAGTAAGAGCTTTGTGAGATCTTTGAGATTGATTGGAAGCTGGTGGTGTGTTTTATTTTTTATTTTTGGGTTACAAACTGGGTACAGAATTCCTTGCACCTGGTCCTTGGAAGCTTTGATTTTGTCATCATTTTATTCATTCTTTCAGGTTTCCGGGTACCAAATCGCTTGCCTCTCCAAAAGCCAATACATTCGCCGGGGGGCGATTGTTTGCTGACGTTGGCAATTTTGAAGTACCGCTTTGGCTTGGCGCTTCGTCTTGTGATAAGATGCCTACCCAGCCCTATATTTTTATGGTCACTGCTGGCAATTACAATTATCATGCTGGCTGTTGTCATGTGTGTTCACAGATTGTGAGGTCAAGTCAAGGTACTGCAGTTTTGATCTTTGATTTTCCTGCAAGAAAACCATGACGGTGGAAGATATGATAAAAGCAGGACGCAGACTGTTTGAGGGCAATGTTTCGTGAGTTTTGCTGCTGACTTCACAGTTAGCATCTAATTAGATATAACTCCCATCTTTTATTTATGGTTTGTAGTGCATGTGTTTCTTCCTTCTATGACATCCATGAGTATTTCTTATTGTAGGTAATATTAATAACAGTAGTCAAATTAGTAGACTGAAGTGATACCAGGTAGTTTCATAGTTTCATGACCAATGAATGGGCCTGCAATTTGTTGCCTAATTTGCTTAGTATGATCATCTCTCAGTTTCTATTTGTTTGTGAAATATTATCTAAACAAAACTTTACCTTTGATAATTGTCTGGAGATTCTGCCTCAGAGTCAGCTCACTGCAAACCTGCCATCCCCATATCCAGTGACCTGATGACCCCACCATCCCCATATCCAGTGACCTGATGACCAAACCATCCCCATATCCAGTGGCCTGATGACCTGATGACCCCACCATCCCCATATCCAGTGACCTAATGACCCTACCATCCCCATATCCAGTGACCTGATGACCCAACCATCCCTATATCCAGTGACCTGAAGACCTGATTGCCCCACCACCCCCATATTCAGTGACCTGATGACTACACTATCCTTGTATCCAGTGACCTAATGACCCCATCATCCCAATATTCAGTGACCTGATGACCCCAGCATCCACATATCCAGTAACCTGATGACCCAACCATCCCCATATCCAGTGACCTGATGAATACACTATCCTTGTATCCAGTGACCTGTAACCACACTATCCCTGTATACAGTGAAATTGCTGCCTCACCATCCATGTATCTAGTGACATTATGGCCTCACCATCTTGTGACCCCATTACCCCTTTACCCAGTGACAATGTTACCCCACCATCTATGTATCCAGTGACATAAGACATTGTTACCTCACCACCCCTGTATCCAGTAATATTGTTACCTCACCATCCCTGTACCCAGTGACATTGTCACCCCACCATCCATGTGTCCAGTGACATTGTTATCCCATCATCTCTGTATCCATTGGTCTGAAACCTCACCATCCCTGTATCCAGTGACATTGTGACCCCACCAGCTATGTATTAAGTGACATTGTGAACCTACCATTCCTGTATCCAGCAGTGTTCCATTGCCTGAATTTTGGGTGGAAAATCACACCTAATGAGGAAAACATGGCCATCCCAAATATAAGAACAATTGGCATTATTTTGTCTTAAAAATGTTTTGTGCATTCTAACAGCCAGGTTACATATGACTTGACACTTAAATGCATCCACATCACTTTAATCTCAAATCCTGTGAAGACCCTGACATGAAATTATGTTTTTTTCTTTATTGGCACACCCAACCGAAATCCAATTTTAGAACACTTGCTGACGGCGCCCCTGCCCCCTGTGACCTGCTGACCTGAATCAGGCTGCGGTGGCGCCGCAGGTCCCGGCGCGCTCTGTTCCTGCTGCTCGTTATGTCGGCGCTGGTGCTGTACGTGGGCCCGGGCCTGCTGCGCTGGCTGATGCGGCCGCCGCCGCCGCGACTCTCCGTGCCGCTGCCGAACGTCCACAGTGAGTGGCGAACCAGTCGGGCTGGGTACACACTGCACAGGGGAAACCAGGAGCCGGACACCCGTCACCCCGACTCCCAATCTGACCGAGTACAGCTCCCACGGACACTGATAAATGCAGCCAATGTGTTCATTGGCCGGCAACGTGGTATTTTCTTCATATGATTCCTGGTTATTTTTCTTTCATAGATAGCAAGTTCTGGCTGTGTAGTGAGTATGTGCCGCGTTACCGCCACCCCCAACAGCTGGCCGTGGCCCCAGCAGCCAGTCGGTCGCTCCGTCAGCTGACCGGCCCCCTGCACACCCAGCGTCGTCGGACGGCGCGCCGCAGTGCATCCCCGAGCGACTGTACCCGTTCGAGGCCGAGCTCGGACGGCTGGACTCTGTGGTGTCGCGCGTGCCGCCGCAGCCCGGCGACCACCAGCACCTGCCCTACGTCGGCAACGGGTTCGTGGCGCTGGCGGCGCGCGCCGACTCGCCGCTGTACCTGCGCGACCAGCGCACGCTCAACGTCAGCGTGCCGTTCCTGGCGGTGGTGAGCGCGCGACTTGAGGGCGCCGCCGCGCCGCCGCACGAGGCCGTTCTGCTGCAGTACGCCGGCGGCGTGGTGCAGCGGCTGCAGTGCTACCCCCTGGCGGAGCGGTCGCTGGACGTCACGTACAAGGTGAGGGCGGCGGCAGAGCGTCAACAGGCGGCCCTGGGCAGGGGTCGGTCGTCGGCCGTGAATGTATCGGTGTGGCGCTAGAGAAAGTCGCTGAGACCTGTTCGGCGTGGCCCGTCCAATCACGGTGGAATGTTTGACGGGCGGCAGTCATGAGCGTCTGCCCGTAATCAGAGGTCGATCAGAGGTGTATTTCCCGGTCCGCAGTATTTGGTGGCCGTGCCCGGGGCCCACTGCGCTCATGGATGGTAGGTCCGTGTGGCCGCTCGGTACCCGTCCCACCCAGGCTGAGATCCCCCACCCGTGTGACGGCCTGTCTGGTGGTCTCGCTGCAGTACCTGGCCCACCGGATCTCGCCCGGAGTGCTGGTCCAGGACATCAAGGTGCGCAACCCGACCGAGACGGACCACATGCTGGAGCTGCAGCAGCAGGGCGTCTTCCAGTGGGAGGGAGCCACCGTCCGACACGACAGGTACGCGCGACACACGGCGGCCAACGGGGCGTCCTCCTGTGGGAGGCAAGACTGAGAGGGAACGGGTGTCTTTTCCCTTCCCCGTCCGTCCCCAGTGGTACGCCGACCGTCTGACCCCCCCCCCCCTCCCCCAGGGTCGTGCACGGCCAGGACAGCCACCCGTACGTGGTGGTGACGGGCGTGGTCCGCACACAGGACCTAAAGTTCATCGGCGTCGTGGTCGTGTCGTCCACTGTGCCGGGCAGCGTCGCGGTGAGTGATATAGCGGTGTCACGGGGCACCGGGCACTCACTAGTGGTCTGGTTCCAGCACCTGTGATCCACCAGCCGCGCGCCTTCCACAGCATCTGGTAACGTATCTGGTACCGTATCTGACCTCTGCCTGCAGGTGAAGGCCTCCAGCCTGGCCTCTGTGCGGATCATCACCTCGGTCAACTACACCGAGCCGGTGGCCAGCGACCAGGAGGCGCGGCAGGGCATCGGCCGGCTCGGCCTGGAGCGCGCCGCCGTCTCGGTATGTTACTGGCACACCGTCTCTGTGTGTTACTGATACCGTCTATATGTGTTACTGGTACCGTCTTGGTATGTTACTGATGCCGTCGCGATATGTCACTGATACCGTCTATATGTGTTACTGGTACCGTCTCGGTATGTTACTGGTGCCGTCTCGGTGTGTTACTGATACCGTCTATATGTGTTACTGGTACCGTCGCGCTATGTTACTGATGCCGTCTCGGTAGGTTACTGGTACCGTCTAGGTATGCTACTGATGCCGTCTCTGTATGTTACTGGTATGGTGCGCCAGACTGTCTCGGTATGTTACTGATGCCGTCGCGATATGTTACTTATGCCGTCTATATGTGTTACTGATGCCGTCTATATGTATTACTGGTGCCGTCTCGGTATGCTACTGATGCCGTCTCTGTATGTCACTGGTATGGTGCACCAGACTGTCTCGGTATGTGACTTGTATAGCCGATTTACATTTTACAGCATTTGTATTTTACATCATCGGCACTCTTCCACTCAAGGTGGCTATTCCGAGCCCTCGTCAAAACAGTAAGCGCGTTAAAAAGACACATAAACAGTTAAACCTGCAAAAGTATAAAAGCACGCTAAAACTAAAAGCACAGCTAAAATGTTTGTATGGTCGCCTATCCATCTAGCTGACTAGGTGACTTTTAATACCTTTCTTAAAGCGCGGACCAGACATGACCTGAAGCTCCGTTCCTATGACATGTTCGTTGTACAGTTTACACGCTCGCTGCTTAAAAGTTCTTTGGCCAAGGCTGGTTCGAACACGCGGTACATGTAAATGACCGGACTGCCTAGTCTGGCGCTCGGAAACATCTCTATTGTACGATATGTCCTGTCGCAGTACCTCAGGCTCACCCCTGCTAATCACCCCGTGTAGCAGACATACGTCGTTCATGTCAATCAACGCACTGACGGGGAGCCACTCCAAATTCCTAATCACGTCGGACACATGATCATACTTCAGTCTGCCAGATATCACTCTGGCAGCAAAGTTTTGCACTTTCTGCAGTCGCTTTAAGCTCGTTTTGCTGGCACAGCCGAATACCTGACTACAATAGCGCACATGTGACATGACTAAGGCGTCCAGTATAGTCGGAAGTACACTTGGAGGAAGCACATGCCTGGCGTGCATCAGGCCAACAAGAACGCCTAAACATTTGGTGACGATATAATCAATGTGTGGTTCAAAGGTCAGTCGGCTATCAAAGATTACACCTAGATTATTAACAGTTGACACCGGTTGCAGAGTCTCTCCCAGGAACTGCACTCGGACCGGATCCCTCTCGGCAGCCTGTAGCGCCGATCGGCCTCCGGCGACCATCATCTCGGTTTTTGCTGCGTTTATCTTCATGCCGTTCTGGAGAAAGTAGGTGGCCAGAGTGTCCAGGACACCCTCCAGTGCAGTCTGGATCTCTGGCAGCCTCTCCTTGGGTCCTGAGACGACCAGCTGGGTGTCATCGGCATACCTGTCCATCCTGACCATACTGCCATTCACCTCGGACGGCACGTAGCAGGCGGCGCCGATGGAGGCGATGTTGTACAACATCGGTCCCAGGCAGGATCCCTGGAAAATGCCGATGTTGATGGGGAGCAGCGTCGATCTCTCCCCTCCTGGCACCTGAACACACTGCTTGTGTCCGGTGAGATAGCTCCGAAACCAGCCCGGGTCTATCTGAAGCAGTTGAAGTTGATTCAGCAGGGTCTGATGGTCTGAGCATGGAGAGGGGAATGCAGCTTGCGCCACTATCACAGTAGGGTGTGTATTCGGGGCTCTTTGCCGTACATATGCCGCCGTTGGCTGCTGTTGGCCACGGTCGGTCGGTGCGCCGTGGTACGCCAGTGATTCGTATCTCGGCACACAGATAACCACAGAGTGCATTACCAGCCCGTCCGACCCCCTGACCGACCTCCCCCCCCCCCCCCCCCGTCAGGCGTACACTGAGGCGGTGTCAGAGGACCCCAGTCGGCTGCTGAGCGCCCACGTCGAGGTCTGGCGCCGGCTCTGGACCTCCGGCTTCTCCATCTCCCACTCGCTGGCCGATGACGTCATCAACGGCGACGTCATCAACGCCACGCTGTACTACGTCATGAGTCAGGCGCGCGCGCCCCTGCACGAGAAGGTAAACGGGTGTGGAGACTGCCGGGGCCGAGCGGTCCGCCGCTCAGCGCTGCAGTGTGAGTGAACCGTGAATAGGGTCTTGCAGTGAATGTTGCACGTGTTTCCGACTGTGTTACCTCCCTGCTCACTGGCCTCTATATTGTGGTACTATAACACCGCGCCTGCTGTACGTTCTGACACCGCCGCGCCGCCTGACCGCCGCGCCGTCCCCCGCCCTGGCACAGACGACGGACGTGGCCAGGCTGCAGGAGCACGCCGCCTACCTACAGTACACGGAGGGATGCTTCGGCGACAAGCTGCACAGTCTGCAGGCGCGCCGGCTCTGGTCGCCGCTGCAGACGGTCGCAGACGTGCTCGAGACGGCCAACCTGTGGCTGCTACTGCTCGAGAAAAAGGTGGGCGTGCGCGCTGGCAGGGCAGCGGCCGGCGCGGCCCGCGGCGGCTGTGGGATGCTGGTCGGTGCCGCGGGAGAGAGCTGGGGATGGGACAGTGAGGAGCAAAGCAAAGGCATAACTACTGGCCCGAGGAGGGCAGGGCGCGGCATTTTCTTAGCTTGGTGTCGACCAGAACTGCTTCTTGGGGCGTGGTAATGGCTGGCTTGTTGTTCTTTAATGTGTTCACGGGTCACATCCAATGCAAGTTGTTTAATGACATGAATTTCAAGTGAAGAGGGCCACAAGTGTTTTCTGTATGTGTGAACCTGTAACCTGTATGTGTGTTTCTGTATGTGGCCCCTGTTTGTTCTGTATGTGCTGTTGAGTCGGTTCATTCGCCCCCAGGGCTGCCACAACATGCTGGGCGCGGGCGCCGACGGCGTCATGCAGGCGATGATCCTGAGTATGGGCGCGCTCAAGTTCTCCAACCAGCACCTCGAGTTCGGGATGGAGCCCAAGGATATGCACAGAGACTACGTGTTCAGGTGGGTGTGGAGCGCAGAGTCAACAGCTGTGTAATTGAACACATTATCTCTGACCTCGCCGCCGACCTGCTGTGACGGCCGTAGCTGACCCGGACCACTCTCTGCCTCCATCTCCCCCCCCCCCCCGTCCGACAGGCGGGTGAACTTTGGTAACGCCACTCACGTGACGATCCGCGTGGCGGTGGACGACAACAACAAGGCCAACCTGTTCGTGTCGCTGGACCGCAGCGACCGCTCCTACTTCGGCTGCGACGCCGGCTGCCTGGACGCGCCCGTCAAACTGGGGTGAGCTGCCGCGCCCACTCTGACGCTCGACGACGTGTGAATGGGGCAAACTGCCGCGAGATGCTAACGGCGTTTCTGTCGCCCTTTCACTAGGCGCTAAAATGAGAGCAAACGACCAACCCTCTCCCCCGGTTCCCAGCCCGGAGCCGACCCGTTTCCCGGTGAAGCTGACCGATCCCCCCCCCCCCTGTTCCCAGCCCGGAGCCGACCCGTTTCCCGGTGAAGCTGACCGACCCCCCCCCCTCCCCACCCCACCCCCTGTTCCCAGTCCGGAGCCGACCCGTTTCCCGGTGAAGCTGACCGACCCCCCACCCCCCCCCCCACCCCACCCCCTGTTCCCAGTCCGGAGCCGACCCGTTTCCCGGTGAAGCTGACCGACCCCCCCCCCACCCCACCCCCTGTTCCCAGGCCGGAGCCGACCCGTTTCCCGGTGAAGCTGACCGACCCCCCCCCCCCCCCACCCCACCCCCTGTTCCCAGTCCGGAGCCGACCCGTTTCCCGGTGAAGCTGACCGACCCGCCGACAGCGGTGCTCTACATCACCCCCGATTGGCAGCACCTCGAGGAGCTCAAGCACACCATCCACGTGAAGGAGGTCAGCCTCGGTGAGTGGCCTCTCACCCTGCGCTCCTGGACCAGGGCCGGGGTGGACGGGGTGGCGGCTCCGGCCGTGTTGTAGCTTCTACATGTCTACAAGATCAGGCGCTGGCAGGGTCCTGCGTTGTGTACCATTATGTGCGGCAGGCGAAGACGGATGTGATTTATAGACGGACGCTGACGATGCAGTAATTGTCTGTATGTGGCGTTTTGTGATCTGTTGGCCGCTGAATTGAAGTTCATCAACGGTCTGTTTCACCCGCCCGATGTCATGGCTCGCTCACCCTGTACCTGCTGTCGCTCGCTCACTTTCTTCTCATTTAGTGATCTTTGCACGGCACTTCCGCGTCCTCCCTAAACCGGTTACGTCCTGGTGACTGAGCCTGCCTGCATGACTGCGCTGGCACACGAACCGGTAACTGATCCCTGACCTGACCTGACTCGTGACCCGACCTGACCTGACCCTGTGTGGCAGTGCCGGCGCACGGGCCAGCAACTAACCCCTGACCTGACCTACCCCTGTGACCCCTGACCCCTGTGTAATGGCGCCGGCGCACGGGCCGGTAACTGACCCCTGACCCGACCTGACCTGACCCTGTGTAGCAGTGCCGGCGCACGGGCCAGCGACTAACCCCTGACCTGACCTACCCCTGTGACCCCTGACCCCTATGTAACGGCGCCGGCGCACGGGCCGGTAACTGACCCCTGACCTGACCTTCCCCTGTGACCCCTGACCCCTGTGTAACAGTGCCGGCGCACGGGCCGGTAACTGACACCTGACCTGACTTACCCCTGTGACCCCACCCCTGACCCCTGTGACCCCTGACCCCTGTGTAACAGCGCCGGCGCACGGGCCGGTAACTGACCCCTGACCTGACCTACCCCTGTGACCTCTGACCCCTGAGTAACAGCGCCGGCGCACGGGCCGGTAACTGACCCCTGACCTGACCTACCCCTGTGGGCTGTGACCCCTGACCTGAGCCTGTGTGGCAGTGCCGGCGCACGGGCCGGTAACTGACCCCTGACCCGACCTGACCTGACCCTGTGTGGCAGCGCCGGCACACGACCACCACCTGATGGCGCTGCACCGGCACGGCCACGCGCTGGGCGGGCTGCCCACCTTCTTCTGGGTGACCATCTTCCTGCTGATCGGCGTGTTCCACCTGTTCCTCATCAAACTCATCATCAACGAGTACTTTGGCGGCGACAAGACCTTCAGGACGCGGTACGTCGCCCCGGAGGCGGCGGGGCGGGGCGGGGCGGGCTCCCGAGGAGCGGGGTGGGGCCGCTGTGCGGGTGGTGGCGGCCGCCGACTCCGGGCTGCCGGGTCGGACAGTGTGGGCTGCGGTGGCGGGGGCTGGTCTGTCAGGGAGGCCACGGGGCAGGGTCAACCTGAATATCGAGCTGCCGGAGCGCTTTGTCGTATAGGACTTTCACACGAGGGAAGTAGCGCAATGAGGCGTGATTGGTGCTTTGACGTTCATTTATAACAAGTACGATCAAAGCCTTTTTATGAAATCAGGCGGCATGAAAATTGACGTTTGATGTTTTGATCCGTTTTATTTTGTAGTAGTTGAATTCACGAATCGGCAAGCATCAATTATGGGTTTGTAACAGCATGTGATATATTCTGTTGTTGACTTTTCTTTTAGCCAGCCAGTGTCTGTCTATTTACGGAGCGAGCGAAGCGAGCGTAGTCTTTCCTTAGATTAACGGAAATTTCTGAGTATGAGCGGCCGGCCGTGGTCACGCTTTTGCGAGGCTTATATCTCAGCAACCACTTGACCGATTTACACGCGGTAATTTTTGTAGGGTAGCTTCATTCCTTCTACCAAGTATTGGACTATTCCCGATGCATGTGGGTGACCCCTTATGCACGTGCCACGTGCAAAACGAAGAGGTGTCAGTTTTGTAATTGTTGCAATATCTCGGTAACTACTTGGCCGATTGCGCTGAAAGTTGGCATGTAGGTAGGCACCCACTAGGCACTGCATATACATGTGCCAGAGTTGGGGTGCTGCTGCACGTGCGCACGTGCAGGGGTCGTTTCCAGATCTCGGGAACGGCTGGACCGATTGTGCTCAAATTTGGTGCACGGTTAGGGACCGGTTAATAGGGTGCCGTGCACAAGTCAGTTGGGACCCATTTTGCACGTGCGCACGTGCAGGGTGCCGCTTCCAGATCTCGAGAACGGCTGGGCCGATTGTGCTCAAATTTGGCACATCGCTAGAGACCGGTTAGTAGGGTGCACACGCGGTAATTTTTGTAGGGTAGCTTCATTCCTTCTACCAAGTATTGGACTATTCCCGATGCATGTGGGTGACCCCTTATGCACGTGCCACGTGCAAAACGAAGAGGTGTCAGTTTTGTAATTGTTGCAATATCTCGGTAACTACTTGGCCGATTGCGCTGAAAGTTGGCATGTAGGTAGGCACCCACTAGGCACTGCATATACATGTGCCAGAGTTGGGGTGCTGCTGCACGTGCGCACGTGCAGGGGTCGTTTCCAGATCTCGGGAACGGCTGGACCGATTGTGCTCAAATTTGGTGCACGGTTAGGGACCGGTTAATAGGGTGCCGTGCACAAGTCAGTTGGGACCCATTTTGCACGTGCGCACGTGCAGGGTGCCGCTTCCAGATCTCGAGAACGGCTGGGCCGATTGTGCTCAAATTTGGCACATCGCTAGAGACCGGTTAGTAGGGTGCCGTGCACAAGTCAGCTGGAGGTACCCCGTCGAAATTTCGCACGTGCAAGGCCCACCCTCTCGCTCGCTCCGTTAGTCGCCCCAAAAGGCGTTATACTGGTTTTAATGTTAGATTAATGATATGCTAGCGTCGTGCTCCACATCTGTCATTCTAGTTCTGCCACCAATGAATACCTGCGCATCTTTCCTCGTTACAAGGAGTTCCCATGCTGCTGCCCCACGCCGCTCCCCTGTAGTTAGGTCCCCGCCGGGCGGTGTCGGTGAGCCGCGCGTGCCGCCGCCGCGCAGAGTGGGTCGGACGCTGCTGCTGGTGGCCGGCCTGTGAGGGCGCGGCCGACACGACACCCTGCCGCGGGGCGGCGCTCCTCCGGGTCAGTGCGCCGCGTGATGCCAGTGTGACAACTGTGTGACGCCGGGGCTGGGGTCCGGTGACGAAGGTGCTGGGAGTCACTGGTGGCACCGCCGGCTGCTGTGAGCCGCACCGCTGGGTTCCGTCCCGACTGCGCCGCTACCGCCGGCCCTCAGAGCTCTCACCCGTGGCTGACGGCTGGCTGTCAGACTGGAGCACACATTTTCCAAAGCGCACTGCACCGAAACTGTTATGTGGGCTGAGGACACGCTAGGCTTGTGTGACCGGACCCCAAGCCGCCAATCATCAGTTGGTTTGACGCTTGGAATGGCTGCGCATTACGCACGGGCCCAGAGCTTGACTTTGACTTCTATTCGCAATGCATCCCCGAGTGTTTTCGCCGACACGGCTCCTCTGGTAGTCGGAGGTGGCCGACCCCTGACCGACTCCCGTTGGGCCTGCCTGCTGTTTCAGATCGTACCGCCGCTCCGGATCGGTATGTTAGGGCGGACGTCTCAGGACGGCTGTCGTGCGGGCCGCTGAGTGACTAGTTGGGTTCCGTGCTGGGCGGACGTCGTCGTACGGTTTCCGTGCGGCTGGGTGTAGTCTAGCCGAGCCGCGCCCCCGGCTGGGTGTGGGCGGCGTCCAGGGGCTATCCCTGTGATCGGTAGCCAGTGCCGCCGGCTGCAGCTGCTGAGGGTGTCCGTCCGCTGCTGGTGGTGGTTCCGGTCGGTCAGCAGCAGTCTGTTGTCGGCGCCGACAGCTTCAGTAGTTTGTTTGTCCGCATGCTTCGGCCGCGTCCGTCGTGCCCGATTATGGAGGGCTGGTCCTGCGCGGGGCTCATTATCGCTGTTTTCGAATAGACCCGTCCTCGAGGTCAGGGCTCGGTGGGATTCCCAGCGGAAGGCTTTGAACATAGTTATATTCCAGGAATGAGTAGTGGATTCGTGCTACAACGACGGACAATCTTCTCCTGCTAGTAAATCGGGGATCGCACTTACGTAGGTACCTGTATATTAGTTGCTTTCGGGTTTCGCTTTGTGATAAATTTGCAAAAACATTGCCTTGTCGTTCAGCAAATAGCCGTCGGCTAGACACACTAACGATGTAGCACTAGCTTCACTATGCCTGAAACGCAGTCATTTGCCTATTGAGGTGACTTTTCGAATTCCCTTTGAAAGGCATCCGCTCGATTAATCATCGATGGACTTTTCGCTTACTGTACATAACTCTGAACCACCGTATCGTCTTAAATGTGTGGGTTTTGTCCCCGTTGTCTGCATGTTTTTTATGTCGTTTGATGGCTGTGTGATATCCCCCTCTCATCGCTGGCCCAGATTTCTTTCCGTGATAAATGGGCGACGTTTCCTCGCAGCTGTCCGCCCACCTAATTCCTCGACAGGAGCGTCAAAGGCGCCGACCCGGCTCTCTCCCGTGCCTCCTTTCGGGCCCAGTCAGCGCAGCTGTGGTGCTCGGATTTCCCCCTCTGCCCCATCCGCTGGCGCTCGAGTTTTATCCCGGCATGATCTGACAGTGACTGTCTGTTCCTACGGCGTTTCCTCGCAGTGCTTGGTATGTTTCCCTCACCATTTCCTCACAGTGCTAAGACTGTTCTGTTTCCTCGGCCGGGCCATGACTGGGTGGCTGACTGTTTTCTCCCGCTCCGGCAGCAAATACTCGGACTATCGGTGAAGGTCCGCTGAGGCGATGGGACCGCCTCCGACCCGCCTCGGGTCCCGTCTGGCCGCGCTGGTCCCGGCCGGCACCGCCGCCGCCGCCACCACTGCCGTGGCTCTCAGTAGGATGATACGAGGACGTACCACGGGCGTGGTGAACGGGCCGGCTGTGCTGTGGTGTCCGAGCGGCCGGTGAGCGCGCACCAGGGAGTGACTTGGTCAGTGGTCCGTGGTCGGCGGAGGACTGCTGTCGGAGGGACCGGAGAGGGGCGGTGGGGCCGCCGGCAGACCGCGGTCCGTCCCCTCCCTGCGGTCAGTGTGGGACGGCAGACCGCCGGTCCGTCCCCTCCCTGCGGTCAGTGTGGGACGGCAGACCGCCGGTCCGTCCCCTCCCTGCGGTCAGTGTGGGACGGCAGACCGCCGGTCCGTCCCCTCCCTGCGGTCAGTGTGGGAGGGCAGACCGCCGTTCGATGGAAGATGACGGTCAGTGAGCGTTCTGCCGACCGCCGGACCGTCTGACCGACCGCCGGACCGACACGGCGATAGTGGCGGACGGGTGGGTGGGCATCGATTCACGTGAACCGCAGGAGTGTGTGGAACTAAGCTGCATTATAGTCGTGTGTTGTTATTTATGACGGTTACCGTCGGGTGTTACGAGCCAGTCCGTGTGATTTGGGGATAGTGGGTGATCGGGTAAAGGGCAGTAGTGCGGTGAGGGTAACAGGGTGGTACAGCTGTACCAATGGCAGCACGCAGTGTGGATTGTGTGTGATTGGCACATGGAGGCGACTGGTCGCACTGTGCTGCCCCGGGCCCAGTGGACTGATAACTGTGGACTGGTCGGGGTGGGGACCCGGCCCAGTGGACTGATTACGGTCTGATAACTGTCCGGTGGGGTCCGCGGCTGCTGGCCGGCCCAGTGGGCTGCCTATCCGTCCGGACGATGCCAGCCTTGAGCGCTATGTGCTGGGTGATTGTTTCTCCTGCGCCGTGTGAACTGCTCTGCGTTGGACAGGTAGGTAGCCTGTGTGTGGTGAATACGCCAACCGGCGAATGCCGGATACTTATTCCGCGCTTGGCGGAGAGCTAGCCCGCTTTGGGAGGATATTTAACATAGTAGGCGACCATTCCACTACGATGGGTGGGCTATGTTCAGGGGTGGACAATTGTGCCGAGTTGGGGTAGCACGAGCCTTCCCAATTCCACGCCGGATGCGCCGGCTTGGCTTTGGAGTCGCACCAGACGGCGGAGGTCAAGGTCACCGCCAGGGCGGCGGCGGATTGGCTGCGCCCGTGCAACCCCAACTCGGCATATTTCTCCACCCCTGGCTATGTTACGGCGTTTGGGGATATCGCGTGTGACTGGCAGTATTCCACTGCGCTAAGAGGCTATGCGCCATGCCGAGCAAACGTCTCCCACATTAAGCCGGATCGGCCCGGGAGGAGCGATGTTCCCTCACTGGAGGACAGGACTCTCCGACCCGAGCCACAGCTGCGCCCGGCCCCAATCCGTGCCTTGTGCCCCGAGCGCCGCGATGTGATAGCCCGGTGTGGTCCGGTGACGTCAGTGAGTGATCCAGTGACGTCAGCGTGTGCCGCTGCGAGGTTACGGCAGGTCTGCTGTTTTGTGCAATGGTTGTGTCTTATGCCTGTCTCGTATATGCTTTGTTTGTTAATACCACGATTTATTTAAAAAAGGGCATTTGTGACCACAATGCGGATTAGACATGCGTAGAGAGGCCGCCTGCATGTCTTGCAGTAACAAGGTATACCAGCAATGCAGTATACCGGCATCGCATCTTTATCAGCTTCTTATGTTTTTTACACCTCACCAATGGTACGCCGTTGTTCTTTGTACACCGTTTATTTGTAGTGATTGGCAGGTGTTCACTGACGACGTTACGTAGCCGCCTGCTAGCAACTAGACGGAGAAAAAAAAAAAATAGAACGACTCGACAAAGCGATGAGAACCAAGCATCTTCCGAACGAAGATTGAAACGTTCTACATATAACGGAAGTGCACTTGATCGTCGTATGATGGAAAATAATGTCTAATCGCACCGTAGTAATCCGACACGACGCTGGTGGACAGCATCGGCTGACTTTACGCGCACAGAGAGCTTGAAGCAGCAGTTACATGTCTGATGTCTCATTCGTGGACGCTTTTACGTCCGCCGCCCGTGTTATCCGCTCGCTTTTTACCACGAAACGATCACTGCCTTGTTGTTTGTCCGACCCTGACCTGTACCGCGCGCCGGCTGCGCCCCCCGGGTCGACCTTCATTAGACCGCTGTCGGCTGTCCGTCAGTCCCCAGCCGCGCTAACCCCGGGCCGGCCGACGAGTCCAACGTCACGCCTGTTGTCCTCCCCATACCTCCCGCCCCCTCTGAGGGCCGGCCGGACTCACTGCGGCCGGCAGAAGGTGCAGCCCGCCCCGAAGGCCACCGCCGTTTGGCCGGCCGGACACGGCTGGTCGAGCCGGCGCCGCTCGGGGCCGCAGTGGGCCGCCGGCAGCTCGGACGCCGCGAAGCAGCGCGCCTGGCCGTCCAGCGCCAGCGCGCACGTCTCTGCGCAGGCCAGCTCGGCGCAGCGCGCCTCGATCGCCTCGCAGCGCCGGGTCGGCCCGGAGACGACGCAGGCGCGGCGCGGCGCGCCGGGTGGCGGCGGCGGCGGCGGCGCGCCGGCCGGCGGCCGACAGTAGGTGCAGCCGGCGCCGAACGCCACCACAGCCGTGTCGGCCGGGCACGGCTGCGCCACCCGCTGGCGCGTCGTGCCGCAGTTGCTGATGGGCAGCTGGCTGGCGGCGAAGCAGCTCGGCTGTTCGTTGATGTCTAGCGCGCAGGTGCGGTCGGCCGGGCAGCGGCGGCGCCGGCACAGCTCGCTGATGTCCATACAGCCGCGCCGCACGGCACCAGCGGCCGTGATGCGGCTGACGCACGCCACCCGGTCGGTGCTGGACTGGCCGGAGCCGGTGGGGCCCGGCGTCGGAGTCGGGGTGGGCGGGCCGACCGGGGTCGGTGTGGGCCGGCCGAAGAACGGCCTGCCGCCCCGACAGAAGGTGCAGCCCATGCCGAACCCGCGGATGCCGGCGTCCGCGGGACACGGCTGCTGCAGGCGGAACGACTCGGGGCCGCAGTTCTCGAACTCCTTCACGGACGCGTCGAAGCAGGTGATGTTCTCGTCGAGGTCAAGGCCGCAGACGGTGTCGACAGGACACTGTTTCTGGTCACACTCGGCGCGGATGCTCCTGCACTCTCGCTTGAAGTTGCCACTGCTGATGTGACGCACCACGCAGGCCACATCCTCCTCGGCGGGCCCCTGTGTCGTGCCGTTCAGCTGGCGCCGGTTGACAGAGGGTGACGCGAACGGGTTACCGCCGACACAGAACGTGCAGCCCATGCCGAAGCCCCTGATGCCGGCGTCGGCGGGGCAGGGCTGCTCGAGTCGGCTGCGCTCGCTGCCGCAGTGCTGGAACTCCGTCACCGAGCGCGGGAAGCAGCTGATGGCGCCGGCGTGCGTCAGGCCGCACACCTGGTCGGGCGCGCAGCTCTGGCGCGCGCACTGCTCGGAGATGTCGGTGCACTCGGAGCTGAACTCTCCGTCCCGCACGTGCAGCACCGGGCAGGCGCGGCCGGCCGGCGGACTCGGCGGCTCCGTGCTGTCCTCGCCGTCCGCCTGTCGGCCGGGAGTCGCCGACAGCGCCGGCGCATCGGGCCCGCGCAGGAACGGGTTGCCGCCGACGCAGAAGGTGCAGCCCATGCCGAAGCCGGTGATGCCCGTGTCGAACGGACAGGGCCTGCGCAGCCGGGCCGACTCCGAGCCGCAGTTCTTGATCTCGGTGAGCGACCCGGGCAGGCAGGTGATGGCGCTCTCCAGATCCAGGGCGCACACGGTGCCGGCGGGACAGCCTCTCCGCGCGCACCGGGCCGAGATGTCGACACACTCGCCGACCGACTCGCCCTGGTCGGAGACGGTCACTACGCAGGCGCGCGAGGAGACGGGTGCCGGCGGAGCGGCCGGCGGAGAGACCACCTGGCGCGCCTGGCCAGACGTGTCCAGCCGTCTCCGCGGCGGTGACGGTATCGGCAGGGGCTGGAACGGGTTACCGCCGACGCAGTAGTTGCAGCCCATGCCGAAGCCTCGGATGCCGCTGTCGGCCGGACACGGCTGGGAAAGCCGCAAGAAGTCGGGCAGGCAGCTCTGGAACTTCTTCACCGACTCCGGGAAACACTCGAGCTCTTCGTCCAGATTGAGGGCGCAGACGGTGCCCGGCGGACACTGACGTCGCGCGCACCGCTCGGCGATGTCGACACACTCCTTTTTGAACTCGCCGCCGCCGACGTGGCGCACCACGCAGGCGCGGTCGGTGGTGGGCGGCGGCGCCGGCGGCTGCGGCTCCGCGCCGGCACCCTGCCGGACCGGAGGCGCCGGCGCGCGCACCAGTGGCCGGGGCGCGGCGCCGCGAGGGATGGCCGGCGGCCGCACCACCGGCGGCCGGCCCAGCTCCTCCCGGGACTGCCCATGGACGGCGCCTGCGGGTCGGAGGGGGGGGGGGGGGGGGAGGTACCGGTCAGTGGGGAGTTGCTCCGGTGGCACCGTCAGTCAATACATTGCGGATGAGCCTAACAGTAATACTCAACTCAATTGCAATGTTAAGCTTCGCCAAAAATGGTAGGAAAAGTGCGATTCTTTGACCATCGTGCATTGCAGTCTCTGGCTCCGCACTGTGAGGATAGTTTCCTGTACTGAGCTGCAGTCTCCGCGCCATGAGGATAGCTGCGTGTGCTGCGCTGCAGTCTCTGCGCTATGAGGATAGCTGCGTGTGCTGCGCTGCAGTCTCCGCGCTGTGAGGATAGTTGTGTGTTTTGCAGTCTCCGCGCTGTGAGGATAGCTGGTGTGCTGCGCTGCAGTCTCCACGCTGTGAGAATACTCGTAGTTGTGTGTTTTGCAGTCTCCGCGCTGTGAGGATAGCTGCCTATAGCTTTGTTGCAGTCTCCATGCTGTGAAGATAGCTACCTATGCTGTGCTGCAGTCTCTATGCAATGATGATAGTTTTCTGTGATGCGCTGCAGTCTCTGCCATGTGAGGATAGCTACCTATACTGCGTTGCAGTCTCCACGCTGTGAGGATAGCTACCTATACTGCGTTGCAGTCTCCACGCTGTGAGGATACTTTTCTGTGCTTGTGTTAGTCTCCGCGCTATGAGGATAGTTTTCTGTGCTGCGCTGCAGTCTCCGCGCTGTGAGGATAGCTGCCTACGTTGCGCTGTAGTCTCCGCGCTGTAAAGATACTTGCCTGTGCTACGTGATAGTCCCCGTGATTATTAATTAGCCCGGCAGGCAGTGGGCTCCTTCCGCGCGGTGAAGGGGGAAGGGGCACTTTTTTGCCCCCTCCCCCGTACCTCCGAAACTACTGGACGGATCCGCAAAATTCAAGCGGCGTTCAAAAGCCATGTCACATTTGTCGAAGGAACTTCAATTCCATTCACCTCGGGGTCACCGAAGACGTCACAGATCAGGTCAAAGATTAATCCACGCCCCGTAGGGTTATCGGCGGACCCTATACCACCCGTCAGGAAGGGGGGGGGGGCGTTTCGCCTCCTAAGATCTCAGCTATTTACCAGCCGATTTTCAAAATTCAAACGGCGTTCGATAGCCCCACCGGGAACTACCTTGTGACCAAATTTCATTGACCTCCGTCTAACCGATGACGTCACAGGTCAGGTCAAAGGTCGGATTTTCACCGTTCACAGGCATTGCAAGAAATGTGTTGTGAAATCGAGTAAATTGTTAAGTTATTGAAAATCATCGATGGTAAATTGTTAATTCAACACATACTTTCCTATCTGAGGTCACTGATACCAGGTCAGGTCACAGAGCTCAGGTCACTGGGTAGTGGGTATTGGTCACAAATGAGAGTGTCGTGTGATACATGTTTTGCGGTCCATTTTACATGACAAATGCCATTATGTGGGTCAGGCAGCCTTTGGGGCCAGTTAAGGTTACGTCCTGGTGAAGGTCAGGTCAAGGTCAGGTCAAATTACGTCAAATTTCAAAGTTGATATTTTTGCATAAAACGGGTATTGATTAGATGAAGCTTGTCACGGGGATTCTAATAGTGGTCTTTGTTTTGCGCTCCGTGATCTAGAATTGCCAAAAATTGAGTGTGAAAATTTGACATTATTTTTGAAGTTTTTTCGCTATAACTTGGCCAAACAAGGAGATATCGATCTACAATTTGTTATGTATATAGAAGAGCGCAAGGACTATCACATATATTCCGTTTTTTCGAAATTCCGAAAAATTGTGGGATTTTTTGCGTTTTTTCTAAAAAATCAATTTTTTGAATTTTTTTGGGTCAAAGTCCCAAAGCTTTGAAAATCCGAGATGGCAGTTTTGTAGCGCCGCTATTTGTCTACATGACCATATAAAGAACTTTGCAATTACTTGGTAACTGTAGCTTTTGTGAGCGTTTCAAGATTTCATGTTTTTTGCTCATTTTTGCTTGAACATGACCTTAGTTTGACCTCAACAACTCCTGACCTAAGGTGACCTAAGA